GCTTTTCCTAGCTTTATAAAAATGCACCCTCTTTTGGCTGCTTTCAGATAAGCTGATTTTCATCTTATTAGTGGGGAAATAACTGGGCGACTGACAGAGCAGTGTCTCCCAGGCCCAAGGTGTGTCCCTGTCTCTTTCCTTCCTGCAGCCCTCATCCTGTCTTGGCAGTGCCAAGCCAGAAGGGAGCGCACCCTGGCACCAGCTTGCCACCCCGCCCCACCATGGAGCTGCCCCTTGCTTTACTTTTCAGTTACTGACTTTGACCGCCCAGGGAAGTCCCACTTCTTGTTTGCTGTGGGTTCTGGAGGCAGGAGCATGCCAGGAGTAGCAGACGCCACACATATAAAACTTTATTTTCTTCCCCAAAAGACCTAAAAATTCCAGAAACTTCACTACAGCTTCTTTTGGTAAAGAGGAAAATGTAACATAGAGGCAGGTCTTTTCTTAGATGCCATGTAAGTGTTCTGGTTCCTGAATTATGATGTAGTTTTAGTCCCATGGCTTGGGTTCCTTAAAATTTAAATACCAGCTTTTAAAAATCAATACAGAACATTACATGTTTACTGTGGAATAACACATGACTAAAATCTTGTGATTGCATCATTTACACGGTGATGCATGAACACCCTGGAGCTTACATGCCTAGATCTTTTTAACATGTGTGTATTTTTTATGGAAACACAACTATTTGCAACTTACACTTTGTTTTCTCTGAAGTTTTAATGAAATAACATGTATGACACCATTAATAATACTAATGTACACTTTAAAGTTTAGTGGCCCCAAGAGCATTCTTGTGTGTAAAGGTACCACAATTAATCCTTCCCCATTAGATGGACATGTAGGTTATTTCCAGTTTGGGTGCTCTTATAAAGAACACTGAATTGGAATCTTTGTGCGTGTCCTTGGCATTTCTTTCATAGTGTTTAGTTGGTAGAATCTAAGGCGTAGGATGATAGCATGGTTTCTTAATGCTCATCAGGGAGAGAACTGGAATTCCTCTTTAGCTCCAAGAAACTAGGACTCCCCTGTAGGAGTCTGGAATTCTGCAAGATTTGGGGCGGTATGTACCTTTCTCTGGGGTGAGGGTCTGTAGCTTTTAGATGCCCCAAGAGGGCTGGGACACAAAATAGATCAGTGACTGTTGTTGCGACCAGGTTTCCTCCCGTGTCCTCGTCCTGGTGCCTCCCCAGACCAGCTGCACAGACGAGGAAGGCAGTGTTTTACTCCAAATGTTTCGAGCAACGTACAAAGAAGACTGTGAGTGGTCCCTTAGTGAGCTCACTGTGGGTGTCAGGGTCTGGCCACGTGACAGAGGACAGCTGTTGGCATCCCTTGCCTCAGCACTCCTTTGCTGTAAGAGATGGACCCCAAAGCTCATTTCTTCTTGAGGCCCTGCATAGCCCGCCTTTTCCAGCCTTCTACCCTCTGGTTGGTGATGGTGATGGTGGTGAAGAAGACAATGAGGAAACGAGGAAGGCTGACCTTTGTCGGGGGTTGCTGTGTGCTAGCCTGTGAGGAAGCATTACACATTATCCTTGTTTATTATGAGGACAGAGAGGATAATTCACTTCTTCAGGGTCACATGGGAATTTGGAGAACTTGATTTAGAGCCAGCAGTTTACTTCCACAGCCCGTCCTCCTAACCTCCACGTGCTGCCTTCTCAGTCCACCAAGTTGCACGTGCTGGGGGTGCACTGGTCACCTGTTTCTGTGGCCAGGCCTTGTGTTTCTCCACTTCCATGCCTGCTCCACCAGGCCCTTTCCACCAAGGCTGCCCTCTTTCTCCACTTAAGGAAATGACACCCATCCGCCAGAAAGCTTTCTTTGTTCAAGCCACGGAAGCAAGATCTATTCCTTTTCTTCACTTCTGGATTGTTTGCAGCTCACACATGACATTCATGTCTGGCCCTGGGATGGAGGAGGCCCTCACAGGGTGGAAAGAAGAGGACCTTTGACCTCAGAGGTTTGAGTTCAGACCCCAGCTTCATGTGCCACTTACTCCTTAAGGGTCAGGTTTCCTCTGTGGGGATAGTAGCACCTGTCTTAACAAAGTTGCTTGAAAGGATTAAATGAGATGAGCGAGTTTGGTGTCCTGCTTGGCAAACAGTGGGCACTCAGGAGCTGACCGTGATGACCCAGGCTTTCAGATCAGATGGAGGGTTTTGGCTTTTAATTACCCCTGCAATCTGCTCTCCCCAGAGCCCCTTAGCTTTTTCTTACCTTTATAAAGTAGTTCTTTCTGCCTCAAAGATATAGCTCCACTCCCCCTCCCCTAAATTTCCCCAGCAGCCATGCTGGATTGTGCTTGCCTCCACAGCCACATGCTGCCCTTTATCTCAATATTGTCATCTAATTGTCTTCTGGGTCCATTGTTCCCACTCAGAGGTGAACTCTTCAAGGGCAGGATGGCTCCTAGCCATCTCTGTATTCCGGGTCTAACGGGGTACCTGTGTCCAGTTACTAATGAGATGGAAAGGAAGAAATATTTGGGTCACATTGGAGATGCCAGTCTATGGTGTGTGACTGCACCTTCTCTGGCCTATGGGGGCTTCTTCAATGGCAGCTGTGTACAGGATGGATTAATGTGCAGAGGAGACTGGGAGGGGGTGTTAATCTGTCAGTCTGTCTTGCATCATGGTCTTGTTTGGAAATGAAGGGGATAACCGGGTGTTTTTTTATTTGTAAAGATGAAGTCCCCCCACTGCCACAGACTGCACAGCTTTTAGATGTAGCAATAGGATTTGCCTGAGAGATGGCAGCAGCATTTTCATGACATGCATCCTAAGCATTTGGAATAGCCTAACAGATGGTTTCCTGTCACCTGTGTGAAGGCAGTTTCCACCAAGAAATTCAATGCATCAGTTGTTATGATCTCTCTATGAATCCCACAATAACCATTTGTCATTGAGTTTTAAAGAACCCTGTTGTGATAGGGGAACATGTGGGATTCTATTGTTGTTGAGTTATTGTAAGTTCCCCAAAGAGTCTTTGTTTGAAAAAGAGAGAACCCATGCTGCTGGTGGCATTAGGGTCACCTCCTTCTGTGGCCACAGGTTTTGTTAGGAATGGAGGAGAGGTCTTTGATGGGTTTATGGTCAGGAGACTCAGGATGCTTAAAGCCTGCCTCAAACCAAGGGTACCCACCCTAGAGGTTCCTGAGGGAGGTGTGCGCTGAAGAACACTGATGCGTGTGGAGCGGGGTCTCACCTGGCTGTTTGCCTGGTGGTACATTATGACTCTTAAGCTCTTGGGAAGGCTGGGCTGGGACAGATGGTTCATCCTCGGGGTTGACTGGGTCAAAGTCTATCATCAGCTGAATGTTGGAAGCTGCCCTGGTATGGACATGTGATGAAAAATGCTGATTGAGATGTTCCCTAACATATGAGGGTTGGTTGCGATCTGGGACTTAACTACGGTCAAGGTCTTCGAGTTTGACTGGATCGGCTGTGGCTTTCCCCCTTGAGAGGTCTGCCAGCCTCTCCCTGCCTTGCAAGACATCAAAATATCTTTACACCACTTTGGCTGGGCACTCTGTGATGGTATTAGCTATGAGGCTGCCCCCACCCCCCTTGCTTATGAACTGGAAATCTCAGTAATGCTAGAGTGAGAATGGGGTGCCTTGAGAGAGCTGGACATGAGCCCTCCTGGACTCGGCTTCTTGGCTGCTAAGGCTGTGCTTGAGGGATTATCGGGAGGCCCAGAGTCATACCCAGGGCCTGGCGCCCACTCGCTCAGGCCCATCTGATTCCTTCCCGGTGGTGCAGTGCCCCTCAGTGCCCTGCTGTGGAGGATGGCTTTCAGGCCTTTATGTGCCACTGGCTCTTGGTGCCCAGGCGGCCAGCCGGCTAGGATATAGCGTGAGCTCGGTTGGCCATGCCGGCGCCTGGGAGTTGTAGGTGGGAACCGTGAGCCATGAAGCAAGCAGGCAAGCTCGGGATCTTCTCCCTGTGCTGCTGTGTTGGAGAACTTTTCCTTTTAGGAGTAGTTTTGAAAATTGTATGTGTGGGTGCAGTTTAATTATAGTCTCATTTTTCGAGTGCTGCTGTAGAAGGGTTTGTTTTTTTCTTTAGCCATGCGTCAGTTTCTTCAAAGAGCTCATCCCGGTCTGCAATTTCCAGGGTTCTGAAGTATTTTAAAAATAAAGTTGTTAGCCTCTTTGAAATCTGGGCTCATGCTTCCTTTCAAACAGCAAATGATGACATGCAGGAATAGAGCAGCACGTCTTTCGCCCAGCAACATTCTGAGCTTTATTCTGTTTTCTTTTGTCATCCCCTTTCGTCCTCTCCCTGCTGCAGACAGTGGTTTTTTCAGCTCACTCGAGCACTCCTTTGCCCAGTAATCTTAGTTCTGAGGTCTTTCCTAGGAAATAATTTAAATGCAGATAAAGCTGCATGCACAAAGATGTTTATTTCAATTATTTATTAAAACGAAAATTTGGAGATGACCTAAATGTTGAATAGGGAACTGGCAAAAACTGCCAGACTATGACGTGTGTGCCATTAGGGCTGAGGTTTCTAAAGCAAATTTAGTAGGAAAAATGCTTATAATAAAGTACAAAGTGAAAAACTTAAGTCACTACAGCATCATCTCTGCCCAAATGCATGGAAGAAAGAACCAAAGGCAGCCCAGTCACAGGTCTATGGGCGTTCAGGAGGGCAGGGAGCTTTCTTGATTCTATTGTGCATTTCCTATAATGAGCTTATGCTCTGTTAGTATCAGAATTTTAGCGAAGGAAAAAGAATTACACCCAGTGATGCTATTGTGATTGCTTTTTGGATTCAATGCTGTGCCCTGGAACTAGAGCCAGACTAGTGATAAAGCAGGAGTCTCTTGCCGGCACTGTGCTCTTGCGAATCCCACTTTCAACATCTGGCTTGTTGTAAAAAGTGTTTAAACCAACAGGACAGTGCCCCTGCACATGTGTGAGCAAGAAATTATTAGGGATCACTTTTTTAAAAAATGCTTTCCTTCTTTCTTAATGTTATTTCTACTTCTAGGAAAATCATCTGGAGTGGAGCTGAGTCCCCAGAATGAGCCGATAGAGAGGTGAGTTTAACGTTTGTTAAGAAGACTTTCTGGGACCTCCGTTTGGGTTTGCCTCTTTTTTTCTTTTTTTTAAAAAATATTCTAGCTGCTTTCCATTGTGTAAGTTTTCTGCTTCTTGTAACTAAAACATAAATACCTATAGAACTGTCTATGGCCGAGCAAAGTGAAGAGGCCACTCAGGGTGTCCCGAACCCTCCATTCATTTGTTCCAGGTCACTCCTGGTATTTCTGTCAGGGATTTGAATCAGATGACATATTGCTTCTGTTGGCTCCTGGGGCCTGCAGGATGAAAGTTCCAGACTCCCTAGCCGGGAATCTGAGCCCTCCTCAAGCTGACCGGTCCTCTCTGCTCCCCTCCACACTGTTCCCTTCTTGTCGTGTACCCCATGCTCTTCCATTGTCTGCCCCACCCCCACCATGGCTGTGCACGAACTGTGCCCCCTGCTTCCCTCCTCATGTAGTGTAAAAGGGGCTGGAGTGAACGTGAACCAGCCCTCCCTGTACCCTCCTCCACCACACCCGGGCCAGTTATTCCTGCTTCCTCTGCAGGAAGGCTCATTCTGAAGACTCTCCTGCTTTGTGTTGTGTGGATGCCCAAGAGCACCCCAGCCCTGTTCTGATAGTTTTGGTACTTGGCATGTAATTGCATTACAGCACTTGCCTTTCCACGTGGAGAAGACCACTTGGTGTGTCTTACCTTTCTACTCCCAGAGTCCTCAGAATAAGAGAGGAGCTGACCAGCATTGCAGGGTACTTGTACGTGTCAGCTGCTGCCTTAGGTGTTTCACACTTATTACTTTTGACCCTACAAAGTGAACGTTTTTATTCCCATTTTAGGGTGAGGAGGCTGACAAGTTGCCTGTTTGCCATTGAAAGGCAGAGCTAGGATTTGAACTTGGGTCTTTCAGAATCGAACACCTGTGCTCTTATGGTTACTCTACATTGTCTTTGGAAGGCAGTGACAATATGTGAATTGTAGTCCTTTTTAGCTTGCCTCTGTGGCTGTTGCAAATGCCAAGGTCTCATCCTCCTGTTACTTGTAAAGGCTCTGAATGCTATTGACACTGGAGGGGACCTTCTTTCACTTTAAAGGATGTGGCCCTTTGGACTCCTAGGGGTAAAATAAAGAAATGGAGACAGTCTGGAATGCTGAATTTTAGATTTTATTGTCATCACCAAGGCCATCAGCATCCTTACAGCAAGCAAGTAGGAGGTTCACAACTCACTGGAGGACATTTTAATCAGGTCTTCTATGAATGTAAAAGATATACTCCTTCTCCTCCTGCAGTAGCGCCAGAGACCCCGCCCAGTTCACCCCACTACTTCCATCCTCAGGATGGCAACCACTTCCCACTGGCAGGACGTGGAGAGGGTATGGAAGACTCCGTCTTAGCTGAGCTCTGCAGATTGAGAGTGAAGGGCCCAGGGCTGTTGGGAGATTGTCCCTGTCTGAGGGGAGGGAAGCTTGGCCCCTTTGAGCAGGGATCCTGGGTCAAGGCCTGAGAGGCAGGCTGGGCCTGTTGGTTCTCAGAGGCTGTTATTACGACTGTCCCAACACTCTTCTGCAGGAGGCAGGGAGTCGATGAGCAGGGCAAGCTGGGGCTAGACATGGCCAGATTCATCATTTTGGAAGCTGATGAGTTTGGAGAGTCTTTTAGCCTTCCTCAACCAGCGCTCACCCCTCTCCATTTCAGAGGATTTCTTCTTCTCCTTCTGTCCTCTCTTTGTCAGTGGCAGGCTCAGCCCTCACAAGGGTCACTCCTAGGCTAATTAAACGGCTGCCCTTGGCCCACTCTGTACTTCTGTGGGCCCACGGTGAGCCTGAGCATCCATCAGGCTGTCTGGGCAGAGCTGCATCTGGTGTTTACCTGCTAATGAATGCGTTGCAGCTTCGGAGTCCTCTGCTCTTGTCTGAGCTCATGAATAATGAGACTGTGGCCACTGACACAGTAATGGGAAAGTTGGAGAGAAAGGAGCTTAAATCAAGGAGCTTATCTATAATGGAGATTCACAGGAGCTTTTCACAGTGTTCAGGCTGCTTTTCCTTGTGGCTTAGGTGGTCCTCAGGAAGTACTGGTTAATAACCACATGATTGCCAGAACCATGCCATTGGGGCCTGCTTGGGGACCTTGAGGGTTCTGAGATTTTTTAATCCATAATGCTGTTTCATGGCTTTGGGCCAGAATCCCACATTGTCCTGGGGCCTTGGAGCCAGACAAGCCTGGTTCAGATCTGGGAGGTGCCACTTATAAACGGACAGTGGCTGGTTTATGCTGAGCCACCGCCTTTCTGGCTCTATGGAGGACAGCACTCCCTTCCTCAGAGGGGGCCCAGGAGGCCCAGGTCAGACCCAGGCTGCTTCGTCAGAGTGAGCACTTGGGAAGCAGCTGCTGCGGACCCCTTTCCTCTCTTGTAAGCCAGACTTTGGGACAGCTACAATCCCTTCACTTTCCCTTCCTCCTTGGCTTCAGATTCAAGCACATGGAGCCCTTCTTGTTTTGGGAGTGTCATTGCTTAATGTAGTAAGGAAATGAAAGGGCTGATGGAAGTCACACACACGGGACAGTTCTGAAGGGAAAGTAACCTCGAGGGTTCTGATGTCACAGCCCTGCTTGGGGTCTTAGTGCGGGAAATGGTTTGTCTTTCAATCCCAACTGTTAAGGACTGAGGAAGACAACGTGGACTACCAGCGTCTTCTACCCGAATCTCCTAGGCCTTTCTCCTCTCATGTGCTGTCTGATGATGAAATATCCGAGAAGTCCTTCCTCTCCCGAGAACAGAAGCAAGACAGCGTGTCCGGGCAGACTTCAGTCATGGCAGACCATTTTTCTCAAGGTAAGCTAGCTTTATTAAGCCTCGTAAACGTGGCTGTGTTTAAACACTGACCCGCTGTCTCGCCCTAGTGGCTAGAGTGTGGTGACATTTGACTATTTCTCAGATGAAAGGAGATCCTGTGAGGGCCGGAGCTGGTCATGGAGTGTCATTTATCACCAGAGAAAACCGTGGTGGTGAAAGTGTGGGTGACTGGGAAAGGGCGTGTGGTTTTGAGTGAAGACCTGCCCTGGACTTCCCGTTTCCCTGCTCCTGTAATCGTAGCGTGGAGAGCCCTGGAGCTGCAGCAGTGCGAGTTCGGTTAGTGCCCAGGGTTCCTGTCACTCCTCTGCATGCAGGCTCACTCTGAAGACTCTCTGCTTTGTGTTGTATGGATGCCCAAGAGCGCCCCAGCCCTGTTCCGATAGTTTTCTACAGAGCAAAGTTTGTGATTCTGTGAATCCACTTGTTTCTCTCTAGTGTGACCCTTGGCCCATTGGGCCGGGCCGTTATCTTAGTGCATTCAGTCTGTTGTAGCAGAGTACCACAGTCTGAGTGGCTCACAAACAGCAGGAACTTGTTTCTCACAGTTCTGGAGGCTGGAAGTCCGAGATCAAGGTGCTAGCCAGCATGGCTGGGTTCTGGTGAGGGTCCCCTTCCAGGTGGCAGACTTCTCACTGTGTCCTCACATGGAGCCAAGAGAGCAAGAGAGCTGTCAGGGGTCTCTGTTTGGGGGCATTGATCCCATTCACGAGGGTTCCAGCCTCTTATGTCATCCCCTCTCAAGGGCCACACCTCCTAATGCCATCACTTGAGAGCTGAAGGCTTTAGCAGGTGACCTTGGAGACACAGACATTCAGCCCATAACACTCTTGTTCTGCCTCTGACCTTGGGCTGAGTTCAGCCAGCCTCCCTGGGAACCTGCTCTGATCTCCCGTTTGCTTTTTCTGTTCTTGTAGTCTCTCTCTTTGGGATAAGAAGTAGGGCTTTGTGTTTGTAATTCAGTTTGCTTCAGAGAGTCCAAGGATTATATAGACCAGTCCAGATAGACTGGCCATCAAACTTCCTGCAAAGGGGCAGGAAGAAGATGTTTTAGGCTTTGCAGGGTCAAGGGCCCTGTGGCAGTTGCTCAGCTCTGTTGTCACACATACAAGCAGCCCCTGATATGAGTGGCAGAGCTGTGTTCCTATGAAACTGTGTTGATAGAATGGAGATGGGCTAGTATTGGCCACAGGCAGTGGTTTCCAGCCCTTTGGTGGTGTAGATTCTAGTTGTCACAGTCTCTGGTCTCTCTTCTTCTCTGGGGGTTGGTAACAGTACCACCATGAGTTCTATAGCACCAACCAGACACTGGCACCTTCTTGCTAAAAGCTTTATTGTTACTTGGTCACATAGGTCATTATTAAAAAAAAAAATTTTTTTTGAAGCCATATGTAAACAACAGAACTCTTTTTTTTTTTTTCATATGCAGTTTTACAGGATGGCCCCATTCAATATGGCAAAGAAACCCAGTGGAGCCTTTGCCCAGTGGTAGCCTCTGAGGCTCCTCTAGGACTTTGAGGGCCCAGAGGAACATGGTATAGATATACCTGGAACATGATCTGCACAGTCTCAGTGTTTCTCAAAAACCAGCTGGAGTCCTCCAGCAGCCGATTATCTGGACCTCATTTATTGGGATTTCTGCCAGTGTCCCTCTGCTATTTTTTTGTAAGTTTCTGAGTAGTTGATTCCTCCTGGTCATTTCTGGCTATAGGTTCTGCCTTTCCCTAGTTTTTAGGTCAGACTACAGATTGTTTCCCTGGCCTTAGTGTACCTTCTTCTGCGCTGTATCAACCCAGTGTGGGACTCAGTCCCTTTCCAAGAACCCCTGGGACCACTAGTCTGCCTTTGTGCAGACTTGATTGAGCAGGGAGGAAGCAGAAGGAAGGAGGTTGTTGCCTTGCAACCCAAGTAATGTCGAGTGGACTATGTGGGTCCTGCTTCCTTAAAGCCCTCCTGCTGCAGAGCTGGAAGGTGCCCTCCTCCTCTTGCCTGCCCCCTCTTTCTCCCTTCGCCCTGTCTCCCCTACCTGGTTTTGTTTCCATCGTGGAGCTGTTAGGCCTCTCTTCCTCTGGTGATTCATGCCCGGGCTCTCTGGTGTCCTCTTGGTGGATCACCAGGCAGTTCCTGGATGGAGATGGTGTTCTCTGGAGCCGTGCTCATGTGCCACTGTTGTCCCTCTTGGCCTGCCCTTCTCCAGCCTTTTATTCTCTGCATCTGGTTTTCATTTTGTCATGCTTATAATCTGTGGAGAGAGATCATTTACTATATTTTCTTTTCTCACATTCAATTGCATCTAAGCTTCCTGACATGCTGTTATATAATGTCATTTTTCATGGCTTTAGAATAGTCCATTGAATGACTGAATTGCAGTTTTCCTTATGTTTCCCTGTTGCTGAATGTTTCAGCTGTTTCCAGAATTTCACAATTGTGAACAGTGCCGCCGGGAGTGTCTTTGAACATGAAGCTTTCCCCTTATTGGGGGCATTTTTTTTTTTAACATTAATTCTCTAAATTGGAACTACCAGGCAAAATGATACATGTAATTATTTATCTATCTATTTTTGGCAGTTGCTTCTTACAGGATTTATGGTTTTAAAGAGGTAGCATTTGTCGGAAGGATTTATTGTAAGAGATGTTTTTCTCCCATTTCGTGAAGGCCAGTGTAGTGTTTCCTTCTACCTTGGCTGCATAATTAATGATGGTGTCCAGTTCAACTGGGAGTGTTTTTTTAAGCCCTAGTGTTGTTTCGGCTCCTGGCCAGACTCAGTGGAAGCTGACTTGTATCCATGGCTGCAGAGCACTTACCAGCACAGAGCCAGCAGTGAGTCTTGGTAAACCAGAGAAGAAGGTTGCAGTCAAAACGATAAGGTCCTGGCTGCCTCCAGCCTGTCTGGGCCCTGGAAGAAGAGCTGCAGGGCAACCGGGCCGGGACAGGAGGTACAGTGCAGGGTGTGTCAGAGTGCGGTACACATGGAGTCCTTCAGAGCTGGGCTGCCTTGGGAGCTGCAGGCATCCACCAAATTACTTGCCACACTTCTGGCATTAATAGCAGATAGCTGAAGGTCTGGGAATTAAGTCATCTCATAAACATTCAAATTCATGGCAAAATTACTATTTAATTAGGAAAAGATCTGTAACATTGTGCTACTTTTAAATGAAAGCCATTTTGGAGGAATTAAAACTGGGTCATAACATTAGTATAATGTTTTAAAACAAACATTACTAAGACATACTGAGTGTACCCTAATTGATGAATTAAAGACATTAGTTTTGCCTTTGGATACTTAATGTGATTAGGTTTTAAACACTGACTCTAGAAACCTATCTCTAGATTGAAACTGGGCTTCCTCCTTTCTTTGTTAAAGTGATGTTTCAGAGGATGAAAACATAATACATGCCCATTTTAGAAAATTCAGGAAACTTAAATCTTTATCTATTATTAAGTATTATCTTAAAACATAATGTAGAATTTTTAAAAAATCAAAAATCTCTCATCCTACGGTAACTACTTTCAATATTCAGTGTATCACCTTCTTTTGTACATTTGTCTTTTCTGTTTAGGAAGGTTTTATATGGAGCTGTGATCATGTTGAATAGCCAATTTTGTTTGTGTTTTTTAAAATTTTCACATGATAATATGATAATGATAACCCTTTCATAATATAGTATTATACAGTTTTCATAACAATTTTAATAGCTATGTAATACTGAATCGTAATGAATATACTACAGTTTATTCAACAATTTTAGGTGTTTCAGTTTTTACTGTTGCATGCTGCCAAGATGAATATTTTCATGTGTTCTGGAAAATGCTTGCCAGCATCTCTGGCAATTTCTTGAAATTGAGCCCTAGAAGTAGAATTATTTGGTAAAAGACATTGAAACAAGCTTCTCTGAGGCTAGTGATACAAATAGCCCCAAAAGGTCATATGCATTTATACTTGCACTAACAGGGTATATTCTTGAGATTACCCTTCTTGTAGCCATTCTCAGTGGCATTGTTTTGCTTTATTTTTCAGTCTTAAATTAATAAGTAATAACCAAATAAACACATTTCTTTAAAAAATTAGTCTCAGAAATATCTGGATTCATTATGAAGGTGGTTTAATCAACTCTCAGGCAATCTAAGCAGGCCTGAAAGTGATCTGTTGGTTTCACCATAAGGAAGATTTTAAATTAATATTTGATATTGAAAAGAATAAAAGGCTACATTAGAGTTAGCATTAAAATTGTATGGAATATAATTTTTTCGTGTGATGTAAAATTGCATCCTATTGGAGGGCCATTGAGAACCATCACAGAGCTGTGTCTGTGGGCCACGGACAATAGCCCAGCTCCCCAAGCCCAGGGCAGGATTGCCAGTTGCTATCTTAACACATCCGATACTGTTTGGAATTTCAAGATCCCTGCATAGTCTATAAATTATTCAATTTGTTGGGAGCTTCAGACTTTAAATTAAAAATGCCCTTCCTTCCTCTAGACTTACTAATGGAACACATACAGGAAATTCGAACTTTGAGAAAACGTTTAGAAGAATCTATTAAAACAAATGAGAAGCTGCGGAAACAGTTGGAACGGCAAGGGACTGAGTTTGATCAAGGTAAGGAAGGACCTTCTCACAGGGCAATGCAAACCCTGAGTGCTTCACATTTGCCCAACTGAGCAGTCTGTGGACAGTGATGCTTCCATCACTGCCCAAACCTGCCATCCCTATTCTCCTGAATTGTGGATGGCCCCTCACTGGACTTTGGAAGCTGTAGAGATGTAGATAGGTATGCAAGGGGAGAACAAGGCATATTTTGTCTTTTTGTCAATAACAGATTATAAAAATGTCAGCATTTTAGCAGTCTGGTAAATCTCACATGCCAATCAAAAAGGTCACCAGTATTCCTGTATAACCATGGTTAGCTCTGAGTGAAATGATCTTCCATGAACACTAAACATATTTTCCCCATAGGTAAGACTTTCACATAGGTCAAAAATTAGCACTTCCATTCTACCTGTTAACACTGTCCTCTCTGCCCTGCCCCACACTCTTGTTGTGTTTCTTCTGTATCTTTCTAGTGATTTTTAGAATGCAAATACAAATATATATTCTTATTCTCTCTCTCATCCAAAAGTTAACATACTGTGCATCCACTGTTCTGACCCATTTTTCATTGAACAGTGTATGTTGACTTCTGTCCTTATTCTGCAGAGAGAGCCCTCGTTCCATGAAGAATGTACCCTTAGCAGCTGGTGTTCTGGGAAAGGCCCAACCTGGGTGGAGATCCTGGCTCCTCTCTTTATTGCTTCATGGCTTTGGGCAGCTCACCAACCTCCCCACCTCCCAGTCTCAGTTATTTCACAAAATTGAGTCACTGCAAGATGAGGTGAGCAGTGCCCTGAGTAGGCTCTGCTTGTGCCTCACTCACTAAGTGGCTGCTGTCACCATTAGTATCTGTCTTATTTACTATTTTATTTATTTCATAACCTGACCAGTTTAACATTTAAACTGGTCCGGTGAGCATGGACCCTAATGTCATTCCCATTTTTAGAGGTGAGATTACTGACTTCAAGATAGTGCTTGATGGCGGCACTCAGTCCCCCGTCCCCTAGTCTACTTATCCTTCCTCAGTCACCCACTGTGGCCATCGGTTAAGAAGGACATCTTTTCAAAAGTACTTTGTATGCTCCAGTTCTCAAGGTAAACAGTGGTTCTATTACTTCTCCCTTTCCTTCCCCCCATTCACTCCGCCCCCACACTGCCTCCTCCCCTTCTGGCCCCCAGGGAAATTGATTATGAGTTATTAGTCATATCAAACTCAGGAAAGAAATACACGCCTGGGCCCTTCACATTTACTCTTGGTAATGCCTGAATTAGATTCATTTTGTTTTACATTTTCCCTGGAAAATCCAATTATAGAATTATTTGGGGGCTCAAATGGCCACCGGCTACAATGGAGCAGGCAATTGCTCTAGAGAGTAATTCCCTCTGACGGGAAGGTTTACAAAAATGCATTCATAAAGTATTTACGCTGGTGGAAAGACATGCTGTTCTCACCATGTTGTCACTGTCTCTGACAAGACAAAGAAATAAAAGGGGCCCCGCCTTCCCCTGCTGTGAAATGTTCATCTTGGGAGGAGTTTTGAGAAAGGCAGGAGTCCTTACAACCTTGAGGTGGAAGTTTCTACATGCCAACATCCGCTGCAGCAGAGCTTCCAGGTGCTGTTCGTTAACCAGGTTTTCTGTAGTGGTGACATTCAGAGGAAGAACTGGCCTCCTGGTCTCAAAGTGCACCCTGCTAGTTCCAGTTTGACTCTCAGATTTAGACTATTGGGAACTGGTCCATGGCCTGGCTGTTCCTTTGGAAAGCGACTGCCTTGACTTGGGTCACTGTAGACCTGGGTAGTTTTTCCTGCTCATTCATATTACTCTTCAGTCCTGTTTTGGCTCCAGCCTATCATTAATCGTGCTATCACTACAAATGGTAATAGCAGTAACTGTAACAGTACCAGTCACTTTTATTGTGCTAATGAAGACTGAGGGACCTTATGTGACTTGCCTGAGGTCTTGTGGTTATTAAGAAACCAGAGCCATAGTTCAACCCAGGTGTCTCTGAAACAGCACCAGAGTTCCTGGGGGAGAGTGGAGAAGGATGGTGGAGAGAGATGTTTGTGAATTAAAAGGTTGATCAGTGAAAAATTAGCAGGAAAGGAGGTTGTACTGCAGAGAGGGGCGGGCACACGCCTCTCGAGAGCTCAGTGTCCTTCCTTATGAGGAGTGAGAGCATTAGAGGTCATCACTTGTACACCAGGATGTTTTCCATTGCAGATAACAAAATATGGGTAAAAACTGGTGTAAATGATGGGGGTTATGTTTTTTACACAAGAGATCCAGAGGCAAGTGGTTCTGAGGCAGGGGTTATGACTCAGTGACATCAACACTTGGAGATGGTGTCTGTGGTAACTATGGTGGTTATGAGGTTCCCATTCTCTGTGGTTGGTGTCTGAAGCATGGAAAGAAAGAGACTCAGTCTTTACTCTGTCTTCCTTTTGTAGTAAGGGGAAGTCCGCCCTGAAGCCTCTGAAGGTCTCGTTGGCCAGCAGAGACCCATGACCATGTCTGGCTGCAGGGTAGCTGGGCAAGCAGGGGCTGGCATTGGGTTGCAGCGTAGCAAGTGGACTCAGTATGGAAGCCATGTGGACGAGGTGCCCTGCACACAGTAGTAGGTGCTCTCCCGAGGGGCTGAGGATGGGAGCACTGTAGTGGTGCAGACAAGGAAGCGCCGGGCATGGGGAGCGTCATCTAAGCTGGATGTAGAAGAAGGGTAGGGGTTCAGCAGTGGACGACAGCATGGTGAAATCTTCACAGTGAGGGGTGGCCTCCCTCACAGTTTGCCTAGCTTTTGACCCTGACCTTTATGGCATACACTCAGAGACTGCGAATTTAGCTAAGAGTTGAAGGTGTCTTTGTCAGATGAAGAGGGTGGTGGGCATCCAGGCAAAGAAGGAACCTCATTCTGCAAGGGGTGTGACCATATGGTGTGCCTAGGGACCAGAAGTGGCCCCGTGTCACTGCATTTAAGGGCCTTAGGGTTCTGAATGGAGAGGGGTGCAGTGTGCCAGGAGACTGGGAAGTTTGGACCTTGTGTTTTGATTGTCTTTTGCAGTACTGGGACATTAGAGGTTTTTGAGCAGAGAATTACAAGAAAGGATTGTATTTAGGATGACAACACCATGGGCAGAAGGCAGGGCGGCCAGGTCAGAGCAAGGCCTGAGGCCTGAAGGGTGGGGACAGGAGAGACACTTGGGTGCTCGGCATCTTGGGAAAGCAGCAGCAGCGTGTCTGGGCTCAGGCCGGGTCTTGTGTGGTACTGCCCCTGAGGCAGGGCACAGGTAAGAGAGCGGTGAAGGGGGCAGTTCAGCAGGGTGGAGGCCCAGCAGACCCTGGGTGCGTGAGTTTGCACTTTGGGAGGTTGAGACTGTCACCCACTCACCCACCCTGGCCCTGGCTCCTGGTGCATTCACCTCAGGGGCGGTAAGGCCTGGGTCCCCTCCTGCCACCTTTTCAGGCTCACTCTCATTTCCCTTTGGGCTCTGAAATAACTTGGATGCTTCTCAGGGCTGATTTTCACTGCATGTTTTGTTCCCTCAGTGTTCAGAACTCCTTTCCAGGAAGTTCTATCCATACTGACCTGGAGATGGTCCCTGAAGTGCTTCTGCTTGTGTTTTAATAGGGGCTACAAACATTTTGGCTTATGGTTCAGAGCTGCACAATTCTCTCACCTCAGAGATTAATTTCCTGAGGAAGCAGAACCAGACGCTCAATGCGATGCTCCTGAAGGGGTCTCAAGGTAAGAAATAGAGGAGCTCCTGCAGCCAGGGCCCCAAAGCCTCCATGCCAGGCAAAGAATGCAGGTGTTGGAGTTGGAGCAACCTAGGTTGAGTCCTGTGGCCCTGTGACAGCTTTACAGGGTGTCATTGTCACAACAGTCCTGTGAGATATTCCTATGTTGTGGCTGAGAAAAATGTGGTACAGGGAGGTTAGGGGATACCTCATAGGGTTGTTGTGACAATCAAATTGCATAAAGCCCTCAGCACAGTGTCTCTACTGTATTTCCTTGTCACTCATGCCCTCTACACAGCCACCTCTCATTTGTCTTGGTTCCCGGTGGAAGAGAAAGGGGCTGGGAATGGTTTACTCAACCAGAGATTTCCAACAATCAGCAGAGTTTCATCCAGCAGTTCTTAAAAAGACCCTCTTTTAGTTCTTTCTATATGGAGCTTAGCTCCTAAGAACCTGCCTTATGCTACATTTTAGCGCTTAAAACAATTTTGGAACGAGATATTAGTATCCCTGTTTTCCACATAAGAAACGAAGGCCCAGGGAATTGCCCTGCCAGCGGTCGCAGAGCTAGACGGTGGTTGGGACTGGAACTTGGGCCAGCTTACCTGCTTTCCCCAGAGGATATTGATGTGATTTGGGTTTTAGAAATGAAGTTCGGGCTTTGGAGATCATTCATTCTGCAGACATCCCCCAACTCCAGTTCTGAGTCAGGGCCGATTACAGAAATCAGTGAGTCCTGGTCCTTCTCTCAGGCTCTTGTGGTCTAATGGGAGAGACATGCAGACATCCCACAGCAGGCCAGCATGAGGAATGGCCCTGATGAAGCCGGTGCAGGGAGCACAGGACCCTGAGAGACTGGTCATCAAAAGCCTAGTCTAGAAGGATGAGGAGGGGTTAGCCAGGGTAGCTCAGGATAGAGAACCGGGACCTTTGAAATGGAAGGGAGAGAGCAGGTCCAGCCCCGCTCAGAGGTGAGGAGCATACAGGCTGGCCAGGAATGATGGACAGCTGTGCCTGCCTCTGCCACTTACTGGCAGTGTGGCTGCAGGGAAGTGTTGACCTCATTGATCCCCAATTTCCTGCTTGTAAGATGGGAGAACAGTAGTGCCTCCCTCAGAGGTTTGCAGTGAAGGTTAACTATGTTGGTGTGTGCGGGTCTCTATGTGACACCTGTGCAGTGTGCTGTGCCATGACCATCCCACCATCCCGCTGCTCACCTCTCACCCATATGGGTTCTTTCAACTCCAGCCTGCGTACAAAACCCTGTGCTGACCCTTTTCTTCACCATAGCACATGTGAGGAAGCTGAGACACAAAGAAGTAGAGACCCTTGCTCAGGGTCCTGTAGTCAGTAAATGAAGGAGCAACCCTTGAACCCACCACCCTGCCCCCAGCACCCTGCTCTGAGCCTCTTTGTCTCCTGCACCTCTGGGGAGGGTTTTGCTCCTCAGGAGAGTTGAGGCCCTCACAGAGGGTCCGTTCTGCACAGCTCTGTTGGGAGGCAGGGAAGGCCGCGCACTTTCCATTGCTGCCGCCAGAGTTTGGGGCCCTGCTTCTTTCTTTCTAGTTTCTACACATTTGTGCTGTATGGAAGAAAAGTAACCAGGTTTGCAGGGCCCATTATTTAATAGAAAATTAAACAGGCCCATTTTATGCCAGTGACGTTTAATCTGCAGCCTTGATGTTGACAGATTTATCTGCCCAAAATGCATAAGATAATTGGAACACCAAAATCATAAATGTCAGATTAAATCTCATTCCTTTTTGTATTCTTGGAGTGCTCGAACTGAAGTGCTCTATCTGCGTAATAAGGTTGGAAAAAAACAAATGGTGTCCCTTCTCAGTGGCACTTTTTGGTGTTTGCAGATAAACAGAAAGAGAATGAAAAATTACGAGAGTCCCTCTCCGGGAACGTGGCAAGCCTGGAGCGCCTGCAGCAGGAGCATGCCTCTGTGCGGGGAGAAAACGAGAGGCTGCGGAAGGAAGTCGGCGAGAGGGACAGGCTCAACCAGCAGCTGAGCCAGGAGCTGGACAGGTGGGGCCTGGTTCCCTGCCCTGATGGCCCCCGCAGCCAGGCTCTGGGGGTACAGTCCCAGAGTGAGGCACACTAGCCTCTCTCCTAATGTGCAGGGATGGACAGAAGCATGCCATATATCTGGTGGGCATGAAATATGGGGAATGATCATCTAAAGAAGGAGGGGTGGGGCGGGCTGTTGTTCTCCATCTTTCCTTCTCTGTAAAGGTGCCCTTTGGGTGGAGAGCCCCAAGGAGGGTGTGATACTGCAACCCTCTTGGGAAGTTGTTTGGCAGAGGGCACCTGGCCCGAGGCAAACAGGGGGCCTGTTCATCTGGAGGAGAGGGCGTGGTAGGGGCAGAGGGCATGAGGTGGCCAGAATCACATAAGGCCTCCTAGCTGTAGAAGGACTTTGGTTTTTACTCTGAGTGGCATAGGAAGCCACTGGGACATTCCCAGCAGAGGAGTGACATTTTCAAAGGATCCTATTGCTCCCTCTTTTGCGGTTTTCCCCTTAGACTCACATCCCATGTTTTCAGTTGTTCGTTTTGGCTCCCAGCAGTGACCTGCTCCTTCAGCGCTCCCATCACCACCTAGGCTGCCCGCGCTAGGTGGTGATGTAGATAATCCGCTGTCTTTGCCGGCAGGCGATCCCGGTGTAGGTCGTAGCTCCGCTCTGAGCTGTGCACCCCTGCGTAGGGGACGCAACCTTTTGAACTTAGCTTCCTCTTGTCTCTGAATCGAGGATTACAGAGCACATTCCTTCCAGGGTGTCTGTGAAGACTACAGGAAAGAGGGTAAAGGGCTGGACACGGGGCCCTTGGGAAACAGAGTCTGCAGTGCAGTTCTTAAACCATGCTGTTTTTGTCCTCACTCTTCTGGCCGAGTGGCGTGGGGGATGAGTAAGCCACCTTGGAGTGCAGTTAACCTCTCCTCCCCACGGGGGGCGTTGCAGGGCACAGAAGGAGGTGAAGTGGAGGCAGCAGCTGCTCTCACAGAACCACAAGTTGCTCCAGTCTCTCCGCGTGGAGCTGAAGGTGTATGTGAGGCTGGACGAGGAGCACCAGAGGCTACAGCAAGGTACTGGGCCCTGGGGACCAGGCTCTTTATGTCCCAGAGCTGTGAGCTCACGGGCACAGCCTGTGGCAGGAGCAGCAGGCCGGGGCTCTGGCTCCATGCCCTTTCTCCAGATGTTGTCATCAGACTCTGCGTGACCCTGGGGGTAAACGTGGTTTATTTGAAGCCAGCTCTTTGGCCTACTTCTCTTAAATAGGAGCAGAAAACATGGAAGGACATAGGCTCAGGCATCCTGCCAGCTCAGTTCTAGAGTATCACTCCCTCGACCTGGCCGTGTGTCCTACAGCAGGTCACCTCACCCTTTGGGCCTGTTCCTGCCTTGGGAAACATGTCTGTTAAAATCCACTGTGTGGAGTTGTAAAAGTTGAGCAGATCATGTGTTAAAGCGCCCTAAAGTACTCCCTGACACACAGTAGACGCTTAAGAAATAACTTTCATTACAGGTTTCCTGCTAGTGTGTGTTTCTTTTTGCCCATTCATTCAGCAAACAGTTACAGTGCCTACCATGTGCTGGACCTTGTTGGCCCTGGTCTTGTCTGTATTTCAAGAGAGATACCAGATCAGAGTGACTCAAGTATAAGGTCTAATGTTTCAGAATCAATTTTGAGGTGTAGTGGGATTTTTTTAAACTAATTTTCCAGATGGTTTCTCCCTATTGAAAGTTTATCTAGAAAAGGGTCATCTCACAGCTTTCATTTCTTCTCAAGTTGCTTCTCTTATTCTTGCTGTTGTGCCTTTTTAATATACTGTGGCTCTTAAAATCATCCCCTTTCATTCTATAATTCCAGCCCAAATAGATTTTATTACTACTAGACATAATTTCAGGGTTTGGTGTGCAATTTGCTAGGCTTTTATGGCCAGAAGTGAAAATTAATTTCCAGCTCTTATTTAGCCTGTGGAATAGCAGCAATTAAGTCAGCCAATATTTTTGTTTTTAAAGTCGAGTTGTTATTTTAAATTGTACCTAGTTCTCAGTAAGGTGGGGGGGGTCGATGGTGGTGTGCGGATTGAAAATGCCATTGAGTTCCTTTGATGGCTGACCCTTTATTTGTGGAAGATGTCAAGACTTCCCTCTGCACATGTCCACAGAGACTGGAGCAGAGGCACCAGAAGGCTGGAAGGGGCAGGAGCTTCTCAGTGACCTGCACGACCTCCTGACAGAGATCCAGGCTCTGCGGGCACAGTTGGAAGGTGGCATCAAAACCAATAGCACCTTACAGAGCAAGCTGGAGGAGCAGCTGGCACAGGGGGAGAAGAAGGCCCAGGAAGGAGACCTCAGTCTGGCTGTCCAAGCCCCGGGTGTCCTCGATTGGACCCTACAGCTAGACAAACACGGTATGGCATCTGCACATCTGTGTATTATGTGTGAACTTCTGAGTGATGCCCCTGCCCACGGAGATGTCCTTCCATAGACAGTAGATTCACTGCACCCTCGGAGCCGGGTGCCTGACCGCTAATTAACTGTTACCTCTGGCACAATGGCATACTCTGGGTGTCTTGGTTCTCTGGAAGTGGAGCTTGGGCTTCCAACCACCCTGATGGCCTCCAGTCTTCTTCCCTCGTATCTATTTTGTCCTGCCTATGCCACTCGGAGCCTGAGGCCTTTTTAGTCCTCTTGTTACCCTTCAAAGAGAACCCAGCCTCTTACTCTGATTTGCAGTGCCCTCTAGGTCTGGGAAGCCTCCTGGTAGGGAACGCCTGGGCCTGTTTTGCATTTGCTGGTGGCCTGTCAGCCCTGGAGAGTTTGTGAGGGGAGCAGAGAGAGGACCAGACAGACATTCCTGCCCCAGCCCAGCCGAACCCAGGACAAACCAGCAAGTGGTCGACTCAGTGCCCCTGACCAGGCCATCCCTTTTACTGTGTAGACAAAGGAATTGGAGCTGAGAGTGACATGGCACTATTCATTTGAGCTCTCAGTCCAGAGCTGTTCCTGACCCCACCCGACCTCGAGCCTCAGGTGCCTGGAGATTGTCATTCTGATGCCCATAAGGTGACTGTGCGTGTTCAGTGGAGCGAGGAATATTGACATGCTTTATAGACAAGGATTGTGCAAAAGTTTCTCATCACTTGGTTTGAGAATCAAGTCTATTGCCTTTAATTTTGAAAGTTCAGATGTCTTAAGGAGAACCCAGTCAGCTTTAGCACCGTCATTGATTGGTTCATTGATTTCTCCTTGATAAGGATCTTAAAACTTTAACCAAAAAGATGATGTAACAATATAAGGAAGAAAGGTTGGGAAAAGAATTCTTTGTATATTTTTCTTCATTTGTTAATCAGAAACAGGCTTGAGTTTATATTGTTCAAATTGTTTTTTGTACCATTTTTCTGTTTGGGGGCTTTTTTGTACATTTTGTTTTTGTTTTTTTTAGCAGTGCTAGGGATGGAACCCAGGGCTGTGGTCTTGGATTAAAGTGATTCTCCCCAGGGGCTGACTTCGTGGAGCTGACCTCCTGGCTTCCTGGGCCTGGAAACCACAGTGCACCCTTGGCAGGGATGGAGGAAGCATGGATGGGGAATCCTGAGGCCTAGACACCAACCTTGCTGGGTTATGCTGCCCCGTGGCCTCCTTTTCCGTGACGTCTGAATTACAGTGCCAGCCTGCCTGTTAGGCTTTTGAGAGCTTAATAGCTTTCCGGATGTAAAAGTGCTTTCCAAGTTATAAAGTGTTGCTCAGATCGTCTTGAGTACCTGTTGATTTTGCCTTCTTACGGTGTTTGAAATGTGTCACCCCCATATTCTGCAGGCCGCTCCCTCTCTCTCAGGTTAATGCAGCAGCCGTCAAGCTTTCTCCTCCAGGACCAAACTGAGATCTCAGCCAGGCGCTGCCCAGCCTGATGCCCCTGAGTAGGTCCCACAGCCCTCCTGGTTCTGGCCTTGCACCCTCCTGTGTCTTCCCGGCATCAGGGCCTTGGCCACAGGACCTGCTTATTTCTCCCCGAATGACAGTTCACATCCTTGTGAGCTTGTAACTGCCTGCTCCCCCCTCTGCCTGGCATTTTTTCCCCTCCTTCCCAGGGATCAGTCACAGTGGTCTTGAAACATAACACAGGTGTCAGCCTTTGGGAAGCCATGCTGGGGTCAGCACCATCCCCCGGCACCCACAGCCCTGTGCTTCCCTCCTCCATCCTGAGCACACCGAGACAAAACTGCCTGTTTCTTGTTTGACAAGAGGGTTTTCCCAGGAAGGGGCTGGGCCCAGTCACTCTTTCTCTGTTGTCCTGACCAGGTCCAGTAGGACTGATGTCCAGGGAGAATTTGAATGAATGCTGTGTTTCTGAACAAATGTGTTTGGATGAGACACTGTACTCTCAGTCACTTCTTCCTCAATTATGGAAGGCAGTGAAACAGTTTATTTCCTTCTCTTGTTTTGCATGTTACAGATGATAACAAATGTCCCCTGGCAAGCAGTAATTCCTCTGACCTTGAGTCCACTTGGGCTGTGATGCCAAAGTCAGGTACAAAATTGAAGTCTGAGTAACTGAAGCAGCATGGGGTGTGACAGTGGTATTTTTAAATTGAATCAAAGGGGGTCCCTGGTCCCAACTAGGTGTTTGGCAGGGGTTTGGGGATCAGCATGTAAGCTCTGAACACAGGGTGCTACCAAGTAGATTGATGTTCCACTTCTCATTTTGCAGCTTCAGAGACTCCTCCACTCTCTGGAAATGACATAGACTCCTTCTCCTGCATCAGTGGCAGCTCTGTAACCAGCACCCCTTGCCTGCCCCGCATGGCTTCTCGCCTGTGGGCCAGCAGGAGTGGCCGCCACATCCTGGGCCTGATCGAGGACTATGATGCGTTGTGTGAGCAGATCCACCAAGGACAGAGGCTCCTTGCTGAGATGGACATGCAAACCCAAGAGGCTTCCAGCCCCATGGGTCAAGAGCTGAGGACAAAGGTAATCTGGCTGCTAGAGTAGGGGAAGGGAGGTGCTCACTGGGGCAGTGAGTGGGAAGGACTGACTGAGGGTGCTTGGAGGCAAGTGCACAGTTGTCCTCAGTAGGGCTCTAAAAAGAGGGACCAGAAGGTGTCGGCCAAGAAAGGTCAGAGTCAGGTTCTGTGTTGGTGGCTGCGGGAAGACATCTGCTTGAGGTTTGTACCCTGCGTTATTGTGGCTACTTCATAGGGATCTGCTGCTCTGTGCCCATGTCGGCCTGTCTGTCGAGTCTCATCCAGTCTTCTGTCCCTCTGTGTGTCCAGCTGTTCATCCCTATGTCCAGCCACCCGGTGTGCTCGGGTTCTGAGGATCCTGTGGAGAAGATGGAGGGCCTCATCCTCTTGAGGCAGACCCCACTTTACTGCACTTACCGTACCATGCTAGCCCACCCCACACCTCCCCAGCTCATACCTCACTGTCTCCTGGTGTCATACCACACTACGCCATATCACAACATGCCATCCCCCAGTGTCACACTACACCAGGCCACATCGTCTCCCAGTGTCACGCCACACCACACTATATCACACTGCATCCCCAGTGTCCTACCACACCACATCACACCACGCTGTCCTCCAGTGTCACACCACACCATGCCACATCATCCCCCGGAGTCACGCCACACTCCACTATATCACACTTGTCCCCCAGTGTCATACCATACTACACCATATCACACCACACCATCCCCTGGTGTCACGCCACACCATACTGTACCATACCATACCATGGCACACCATACCCCAGTATCGTGCCACATACCATACTACGCCACACCACGTCATACTGCAGCACACCACACCATAATTTCTACAACTGCCTCGTGATGAGCTTGCCAGTTTGAGAAACCCTACATCCAACCCAGGATGGTTGGCATCTCCATCTCTTCCCCCATAGCTTCCCTTATGACATTTTATTTCCTCACCACAACCCTGGGAAGCAGTGACGTCATGCCCACTTTAGAGATGCTGAGAAGTAGCTTGGAGAGGTTCACATCTGAACTCAGCTCCCTGTCCTCCAGGGTGCTCGCTTCCCACATTGTAGGACAGCATTAGTCACCAGACTTACCTGTGCAGAAGCTGCTGACTTCTGCCTGCCTGCCCAATGGCATGTTCCCTCTCCTGCCATGTGTCCTACTCTGAGTAGGCTAGGCTTATGCGCCATCCCCGCCTGCTTTCCACAGCCTGTCTCCAGCCCAGGTTCCCTCTGTCCTGGGACCCCCTCAGCCTCTTTTACCTCCTTCTTCCCGCACCCCATCCCGCTGGACTCTTCCCAGACTTGTTGCCTTTTGTCTAGACCCAGCTGTTGGGCATGTGCTTCCTTACTCGCCTCCTCCAAGGCTTGGGGACAGGTACACCCCCACCCGCAAGCTGGACCAGACCCCAAGCTTGGGTCACATTCCTGATCTCTCTTCCTGGGTCTTTACTGGAGATGCCTGAGCCCCCTGCTTCCCCATACCTGATTTGACTTTTTTATTTTGTTGTATTATAAAAATCGATTTTGCCTTTTATGTTCTACTAGACAGATGAACTCTTGGAGAACAGGGAGAGGGGCTGCTTTATTTAACTTTGTCCATCACCTGGTACAAGACCAATGTGCTTGCTGAATATTTGTTGAATAAATTAATAAATATTAATAAGATGCTTTTTCTTTTCTGATTGAAATTTTTATTGCACAAAAGCTAGAAATTATAGAAAAGCATAAAAACATTTATTAATACACTACCCCTGAAGGTCAGCACTTACAATTTTAATGTGTACTTTTAGGACATTCAAAAGTTTATCAGACCTACACATAACTGTGAGTTCCACATGTTTCACTAACAAGAGGTTGATGCTTTTTCCATCTCATTCGGTTTTTCCTCACCCTTGACTTTTATTGGCGGCCATATCAGCTCATGTGTGGCTGGACCTTCACTTATTTTCACTTGCACTGTTTGTTGGACATATAATTGTGACTGGCAAGCATCCTCATTCAGAAACAGTTTTTATTATTTTAAATTGTATTTTTGATTAGGTATGAAATGAAGTTACTGGTTCAAAACGTGTACACTTTTTAGGGCTCTTGATAACCATTGCTACATTGCTTCCCAAAGGATCACATCTGTTTGAGTACCCATCTCAGCACCCACACTTGTCTTCGTTGAGTATTTTTATTTATAATGATTTTTTGTTAATTTGATAACTAAAAAAGTATACATGGTTTTATTTTTATATTCATTTCTTGTAAAGACATGCTGTATTTTCTTTTCTTTTTTGTGTTTTTCCATTTCTGATCACATTCTTGTTTTCTCATGCCCTTGACTCTCCCATGTGATTTTCTTTCTGCTGACAGTGAGGGTGAGAGACTTCAAAAGTCCCCAGCACTGTTCCCAGACCAGTGCAGCTGATACCAAACTGTCCCTGTCGCTGTACTCGCTGTCGGTGTCGTTTGCTCTGGAGCATCTCCGGGGGCTGCAGCATACATGACATTTTATTTCCTCCTCACCACAAAAAACCCGGTGAAGCCCTGCAGCCTGGAGATTTATGCTGCCTGTCAGAGCTTGCTGTCCATGATCTCAGGACCACACGTAACAGCTCTCTCATCCCTGACCCCATGTAGGGTCTGCACTTGGTGCCCCTGAGCAAGTTTGTCTCCAGCGTGAGCACGGCCAGGCTGATCCTAGAAGAGGCCTCGAGGTTGCTGAAGCTCCTTTGGAGAGTCTCACTCCCCACAGATGGCCAGTGTACCCTTCACTGTGGGCAGGTAGGTGGTGACATTCTTCAGAGGTTCAAGGATGCCCCTGGGCCTGTGTCTCAGTCCCTTCCTTAGCCCAGCCCAGGAGCAGCCCCAGTGGCTCTCATTTGGTGCGGGGAAGTGTTAAAGGGAGGAAAGGCACCAGGTTGGTTATGTTTTTGCTGTGTCTGGGCTGCTGACTGACCTCCAGCACCCGAGAGTTCAGCCTGCAGCGGCTGCCCACGTCCAGCACATGAGTGTTGAGTGGGATCCTGTCTACACTCCATATACGAGGAACTGGGGCCCAGGCATTCATCAGGGTTACAGAGCTGGTTTGAAACATAAGGACTGAACCCGGAGCTATTCTTTCATTTTGTAGGCATTGAGTTCTGGCTTGTTCTCATGGGCCTGCGGGTTCTCTCTTCATAGTCCCTTTCACATTATATGCCTTTGCCTGCACCCTCCACTCCCATTAATGGCTTTTCTTGATATGAGTAGGCCTTTTTCAAATCTGCCTAACTGCTGGGGAGCAGTTGATCCATGCCAGCAGCCAGGCAGGTGGAGCCCTACCTGTTTCCATCTGTGGAGTGCATGTGTATTGTGACAGGGTGAGCAGCCAGCCTGGCTCCCAGGGGAACCTCCCTGGGAAAGCCACATGCAGGTAAAGGAGGTTGAGACTCCCAGCTGGGTGGTCTGATGCTGCTTCCCCTTTTTGCCTCTCCTGTGAATGTGCTACAGGCCAGCAGGGAGGCAGAAAGGAAATTTGATTTTCTCTCTGAGTTCCACCCCACTGGCAGCTCTTAGATGGGTTTATCGTGGTTCTGGAGCAGCCCATGAGTAGCCCTCTTCCTCAAGGTTCCATGAGGAGTCCTGAGGCTTCCTTGTTAGGCTCCTGTGGGGAGTGTGGGCGTGCTGAGCTCAGGGAAGCTCATAAACATTTAATGTTTCATAAATTCATTTTTGCCCACTTCAGCCCATGGGGTGTGGGGTGGAAGGCAAGTGTCAGGGGGATGGTGGGACCCACTGGTCCTAGCCCACAGCCTTTTCTTACTCTGACTGCCTGGATGTCCCGTGCTGCCTGCCGACTCCTTCCCACCTTCTCTTAGCTTAAATGTTACCCCTAGGTGAGAGAGGGCTCCCAGTCACTCGGTCATAGCGTCTTCCTCTGTTTCTTCATAGCTTTTGACACAAAAGATAATTACTTGGTTTGTTTTAATGTCTGCCTTCCTCTGCTTTCCTTCAGGGGAACATGTGTTTTGTTCATGTTTTTGAATAAATGTATGATTGAATGATTTTTCCCATATAACCAAACTATTATTACCTGTCCCTTATGAATTTTGAAAGCAAACATGTCTGAACCAAACAGTTGACCCACAATGCAGTGGTTTTATCCTTAGCACATAAAAGTAGTGACTACTTGTTAAATAGACAAAATGCAGTTCTTATTATATATATATAAGACACACACGTTATAAATGCACACAAAATTGTAGCCGTGTCGATTTTCCCCCACTTCTAGATCAGTCCAGCGACTGGTTGGTGCTCGAGGTGTTTTGTCCTTCGTTTCTCAGATAACTGATTATATTCACTCTAGTGTCACAGAATTTCAGAGTAGGACAAGGACTTAGAGATGCTCCATTGTGGCTGCTGGTTGCTAGTGTACGCAGACCCCTGTGTGGTGTTAAATTGCCTCTCACCACTGTTCTGTCACTGCCTGTGTTTGACACGGTGCCTTTTGCCTGGTGTGAAGCGTGTGTGTAAAGCAGACTTCCACATCTTCAGCAGCCCGGTGGCTTTTGCTCCCTGCTATTTTCTCTGAGAATCATTGATTTGCCTTTTGCATTTACCGTACTGTCCCACTCAGTCCTGTGGACTGCTCTGAAAAGCATGCATCCCAGGCATGAGTTGACCTAGGAAAGTTGTTGGAGCGATATAAATATATAGGCTCATGCTTATGAGTTTTTTAAATGAAGAAAAAGCAATAACAGGCTATGTGTTGGCATGTAAAGGGAGAGATTGGAAGGGCAGAGATAAAGTAGATTTCTCTGAATAGAGCTTGTTTTATACAGTTGACTTCCAAACTATATCAATAGTTAACATAATTATAAATAAAATTTGTCAAAATGGGGAAAATAGAAATTTCTAAAAATTAATGGTATAGAATCAATTAACCTCACTACGGATGGCACTGGAGGCATGGTCACACAAAGAACATTTCAGTGACGGAAACAATGATTTGACCATACATTCCTAGCAGGAATATTTTACAGGCAAGAAAAACTGCCCAAAAGTTTTTTTAAGATATAAACCGTTTTCAGTGGTTAGTAATAGTATTGGTATTAATATTCTGAAACTAATGTATTTCTATTGTAAAACAACTCTTAAGTATCATTAGGAACTAAGATTTTTACTATGAATTAAAAAAATTAAAATCAAAGAAATAAAGACCCTGTAATTGTAAATTTAAATTGTAAGCATCAATATGAACTCATGATGTTTTTCTGTTAAAAAAATTTACTAACTCACTCTGTGTAAAAGGCTGAAGAAATAAAATCTGACCAAGTGCCAGCAAACACCCACAATTTCCAAACTATGATGTCTAAATGCCTTTTCCCCCAAAAGGATCTTGGGCTCCTTGGAAAAATGACTCTATGTCTGGGCAGGAAATACAAGGAGCTCAGAACCTATTTTATCCTAGTAAGAAAGGACAAGATATAGGGAAGAAACCTGAAGATTTACAGTAGCTCTCAAAAGTGTAGGCCCTGGACCTGCAACATCAGCATCACCTGGAAATTTATCAGAAATGCAGATTCTTGGGCCTCACCCAGACCAACTGAATTAGCCACGCTGGGAGTGGCCTCAGTAGTTTATTTCACCAGCCCTTTTAGGAGCTTTGAGAAACCCTGGGTTAAAAACTTAAGAAACTTAAGAAACAACAGATTCAAAATATGGATGTTACTTGAATCCTGAATCAAACCAATTATTAAAAAGTACAATTATGAAGCAATCAGGGAAGTGTGTCTATTAACTCCATATTTGGAGATACCTATTGAGTATCTGTTATTTGAAACTACCAGAAGTCGTTCTGATTTTGGATTTTTTTTTTTTTTTTCAGATTTTGAAGTATTTGCAAAGAATTTGTGAGTTGGGCATCCCTAATCTAAAGATCAGAATGCTCAAAATGGGGCTGGGGTTGTGGCTCATCGGTAGAGTGCTCGCCTAGGCACTGGGTTCGATCCTCAACGCCACATAAAAATAAATTAATAAAATAAAGGCATTGTGTCCAACTACAACTAAAAAATATTTTTGAAATGCTCAAAATGCATTGGCTCAAAGAGTTCTGGACTTTGGAGCATTTTGAATTTTGGATTTTGATTTTAAGGATGTTCAACCTGTACTAAAGAATTATGTTCATTGTTTAGGTGAGCTAATGATATTATGGTATTTTAAAATCTTTTTTCCCAGATATATATATTGAAATATTTTATAGATGATATGATTAGTTTCGAGGATTGGTTTCAAATTAATTTTAGAGAGAGAAGGAGCTTGGGTGTAGGTGAAATAAGTTTGGCCTTGAACTGATAATTGCTAAACTGGACAGGTTCCTGGGGGGAGGGTTATTATCCAATTCCTTCTACTTGCATAAACATTTGAGATGTTCTTCATAAAAAGGAAAGCACACAAACAAAAACTCTTCCCAGAAGCAAGGCTTCGAGACACTGATGGAGGATTTTGTGGCCTCCTGGGAGGGGAGGGGCTTCCATTTCTGTTCTCGGCTCTGCGATGCTCACTGAGTTGTTCTGTTGATATTGTCAAGAGTGTTCTTACTTACATAAGCATTTCCTAATTCCTCTGTTATCGATAAATAGATACTACATTATGCTCTGAAATGTTCAGAATCCTGAAATTTTTTAAATGTTATCCAATTTTATTCATGTATATTGTTGCATTCTGAAAAATTTCTTTAAAATGTTACTGTTTTTCAGTAAAGTTATCAGTTATTAACTAAAAAGAATGAAAGGAAAGAGAAAATTAAACAAGAATTGTTCTGTTGAGTGACTGTTGATACTGGGCACTGCTCATATACATCTTATTTTACCCCTTTACCACAACCTTGGGGAGTTAGGTTTTTTGTTTTTTATTTTAAATTTCTAAATTGAGGTATAAGAATCAGATGTTCTTATTTTTTTATTTTATTTTAAAATGTTTTTATTTTTAACTGATTCATAGTAATTGCACATTTATGGGGTAAGTGTGGCATTTCAGTACACATGTGTCATGAATACTGGTCAGATCAGGGTCATTGGCATATCCACCACCTCAGACACTTATCATTTCTTTGTGAGCATTCAAAATCCACTCCACTATCTGGAGTTAGGGTTTTTTTTTTTGTTATTGTTTTGTTTTTGGTATTGGGGATTGAACCCAGGGCAATTGACTACTGAGCCACATACCCCCAGCCCTTATCTAGAGACAGGGTCTCACTAAGTTACACAGAGCCTGGTTAAGTTGCTGAGGCTGGCTTTGAACTTTTGATCCTCCTGCCTCAGCCTCCCAAGTCGCTGGGTCTATAGGCATGTGCCACCATGCTTGGCTTGGAGTTAGGTCATCTTGTTCACATTTTCCAGAAGTAGGAGCTGAAACTCCAAGGAGTTAAATGATTTGCTTCAGCATCACACAGCTAGGAAGTGGCAGAGCTGTTTTGGAGCTCTCGCTGTTTTTTCTAAAGTATCTTAATGCTGTAAAAATGAAGGATTGAATCCAGTGGCACAGCAGATGTAAATTATTACAATCTGTGGTTTTAAGTGCTGGACAGGATGTGTACAGGGTGTTAGGAGAGTGCCAATGAAAGGTGACCCTGCCAGTTGGCAGGCACGTCACAGCACCTGCTCTGCATCAGGCAAAGGTGATCGAGGGAAGGAGGAACTGGTAGTTGACAGGGGATGCAGGCCTGTGACGACCAGTTGCTACAGTCCCCTGGATGTGGGCAGTTATGGGGAGCCTCAGCTCCTGGTGCAGAAGGGGCATCAGGTGAAGCCTCCTGCAGGAAGGGACAGCTGAGCTGACTATAGAAAGAGAAACTGGTTAGCCAGGCCAGGAGTGAAGTGGCCATTCCCGGCTTCCATGGACTCCTCTGAGTCTCATCCTCCTGCAGTGTGATGGGTGGGTCAGGGGTGGTTATTCCGGTGTCACAGGTGTGGAGTTAAGGCTCTGACTGCGGGGCAGTTTGTCCTAGGATGGAGCTATGACCACAGCCCAAGTCTCTGTGGGCCCTGGATAGCAGGAGAGAACCGTGCAGACCTGATGTCTGAGTTAGGGTCTGTTCTGGAAGCACTGAAGACTCTCTAGCTGACATGATTGGCTAATCTTAAAAGTGGTTAAGGTAGGGAATCAAAAAGTGAAACATACCTTAAACATTTTGGTTTAACTTTAAACAGATAAATGTACTTACATTCACCATTCTTTTGATGGAGGGCCAGGGCCATTTCTTTGACTATGGGGCTGCTGTTTGGAGTTCCACATGTCCTTACTTTCATAAGCCACATCCATAATGTATGTCTGTCACTTCCAATTTCTGTTTCTTTAAGATGAAGAGAAAACTTAGACACTTGTGAAGCAATCTGAATTTAGAATTCTTCTAGACTGTGTTCCTCCCACATCTTGTATAGTTGTTTCACCCACACCTAATTTGCCAGAATGTGTTTTTCAGTGGCTCGCCTTTCTCTGGTATTTCTGAAGCATATGTTAGTTTTCATAGTCGGTTCTCTCTATCCAGACACAGGCTTCATAGGTTCACTTAATATTTAATTAGATTCTGTAATTCTGTTACAACTACCATAAATAAGTTTGGGAACAAACTAAAGGGACTCTTCATAAGCTGACAACTCAGCATCTCCCCTTGGAGCAGAGGTTTTTGAGTGCAGCCGGGAGAAGCAGGTGCCAGGCTTTCTTGCCACGAGGAAGGGAGCTGGTTAAAGTGTCTCAGTCCCCCTCTGAGCACTGGGGACCCAGTGTGGCCTCCCACCTCTACTCTACTCTGAAAATTCACAGTAGGTCCTCCTAATGGATAACACTCACCAAGAAATAGTTTTGTATTATTTTTTTTCAAGATTTAAACACAAAACTTAAAAATCAGCATAATAGTTTTTATTAAACAACAACAACAAAATTTGAAATCACATCTCCTGGAGACACTCTTAGCATCTTGTGGCCTTTGACCTCCAGCTCTGTGGCTGTGGAAATGGGTTCAGATTTGTGAAATGAGTGCTGTGGAGGCAGAGGGCAGCCTCTGTTGTTCTGGGCTCTTTTTCTCTCTCATTACAATCTTTTATATATATTGATATTTACATCTATAAATAGAGCTCTACAACCTCATTTTAATAGCTGCAGAATTACTTCTTTCTGTGTAAGTACCACAATTTATTTTAGATCCATATTAAACAAATTGGGTTGTTTTTTTTCTGCTACCACTAACAAGGCTGAAGTGGACATCCATGGACAACCAGCAACTTTCTTGTGCTTGTACGGTTGTTGTTTTGGGGGTAAATGCTGTAGTGTAGACTTGCTAGTTCAGAGATGGTCATGCACTTACAGTAGATCTTGCCAGGTGTTACCCAAGGGCCTTGCCAATTTGCAGTTTTCCAGTGGTCATAAGACTGCTTTCTTTCATCTGTATTTTATCCAGTTTTGCCAATCTGGTGGACAGAGAAAGCCTTCTAGTTTTTATTTAAATATCTCTGTTAGTGACGTTGAGCATCTTTTTATCTGATTTTGCAATTGTTCCTATGTGATTTGACATTTTATATTCTTATGTCAGTTTTCTAATTCCTTTTTTCTTTAGATTGGAGAAATGAAAGCAGAGATCACCAAACTACAGAACAAATTGTTTGAACAAGAAAAGAAGTTGCAGAACAGCATGAGGCTTTTGCAGCAGAGCAAGCACCAGGAAAAAGTCATCTTTGACCAGTGTGAGTGAGCAGTGTGGGTAGCCACTATGCTTGACCACTTCCTGCCCTGGCTTAGCCACACTGGAGCCCAGACCAGTGGTGATGAGGCCCCCTGGTTCGGGTGTCTTTTTAGGCTGCATTCTTCCTGACCTGCCCAGACTCGTCTGTTCACTTCCCATGTCTTGGTGGCAGGGATGGTCCTCTCACTGGGGAGATGGGGGTATGGCACGTGCGGTATGGGAGCACGGAGATGGCAGTGGGGTGGGTGTCACTGTCCTGGGAGGTGAGCATCCTGAATAAAATGATCCTTGAGCCAAATCTAAAGGGAGTGAATGTCATCAGGTAGGACAGGGGGTGACATTCCAGGCCAGGAATAGCGGGGATGAAGGCAAGAAACCAGAAGCGTTTCTATTGGTTGCCTACGACAGGTCGAGGTAGGAGGGGCCCGGGGACTGGGCCTTATGTTGTGACAGGCTTGGGGAGGCTGGCACGTACAGCAGAGGGTCGCCCGCCATGCCTGTCAGTGAAGAGGCTTGGTGCTCTACCAGAGAGCAGGACATAACAGCAAGGACGCGGGATCAGAGTAGGTCATGGACTTGAGGAACCCTTCTCCAGGCAGGTGCGGAGCCCCAGGATCAGAGAGCCAGTCAGTCCCAGCTCTGGCCTAGCCACTCACCTGGTCCCTGGTTTAAATCTTCAGCACCGCTCAAGGCAGCTCCCATCAGCACCTCCTGGTGACCCTACCGCGGCTGGGCCCACGCTGCCTGCATGTTGGTTTGCTTGTTTGGGGAGACTCTATCTGGAGCTCCTTCCTCTCCAAGGTGCCTGCCAGCCTTGGATGCTCTGTTAGCAAAGTCCCGTTTTCTCGGGGTCTTCCTGGGAGGCATAGAACATAGATTGTTGCCAAGTGGCAGTTTTCCTGACACTCCCTCGCCCGAAACCTTCTGGAAGTGGACTCTGTGAGATGGGCAACAAGCTCACTTATGAGCAGGCACAGCCCCGGGGACAGGCGCTCCTGCTGGCGGGGAGCTCGGGCGTAACTGGGGGTGGGGGTTACACAGCTTAGCTGTGGGAGCACTGCTGAGTGTCTCAGGGAGCCTGGCCAGGTTCTGGTTCAAGACTGACTGGGCCTTGAGGGATGGCCAGCTGAGATGGCAACAGGGCAGGAACAGGATTTTGGTGATGGCCTTGTGGCCTCATACCACAGCCCAGGAGGCAGGAGAGTAGAGTGTTCTGGAACATGCTCAGGACACACCAGGGCCTTTGAGGAGCCTTGTGGGACAAGCTGAAGGTGCAGTCCCTCAGGTGGGCAGTGGGGAGGCCTCTTGGGGCAAGGCAAGGCTGTCGAGAAGTGGGGATGTTGGGAAAGCTAGTGAGGGGTCAGTCCAGCAGGGTGGTGGATGTCATGAGGTTTTGGCTGGGGTGTTCGTGTCACTCCCTGGGCAGACGGTGCCAGTCATGGCCATGTCAAGGTAGCCATGGGACATTGGGTCAGACTTCTGGGCAGCAAGGGGCCAAAGTGATGCTCCGTGTAGCCCCCGAGGCTGGGAAGCAGAACTCTGCCCTGGCACCCTCTTCCTCTGCAGCCTGGCTGGGATAGCGGCAGAGCACAAGGAGGTTTCAGAAGCAGGCATGAGGTTCACATGAGTCTAGTGACCACGGTAGACAGTGCCACACCCTGTGTCCTGGGTCAGCGAGCAAGGCATTGTGAATGGGCACAGTGCAAAGCTCTGACTTCAGTTTCCTTATCCCCAGGGGAGACAGTAATTCCAAAGGACTCACACTGGCCACACACATAGGCCTGGGTTCTAATCATGCTGCATAGAAAGTACCTCTGTCTGTCATCTGTAGAGGAATGTGAAGCTTCTGATATGAACTGTCCTTAGCACAGTGCGGGGACAGAGCTGCTTCCCTCTCTCAGTTAGTCCAGATGATCTAGGGTACAGAGGTCATTCAGAGCAAGCCTGAGAACATCTCACAGCATCTCCCATCTGATGAGCTGTCGCTGTCTCTGCGTTTTGTTCCAGCCAGTGGGCAGCTGCAGCTGGCCGGGCTGTGCCTCCTCCTGCCCGGGCTCGGCAGCTCGTCCTGACCAGTCAGGCCCTTGGGAATTCCCCAACACTGCCAGCCTCACGGGCCTGCTTCTGGCACCGAAGTGACTAAATGAAGGCTGGTAGCATTCCCTCTTCCTTGCCCACACAGTGACAGGAACAAGCAAGGGCTAGGGCTTATCCCTGCCTGTGTCCTCCCAGGCTCTATAGGGGAAAGTAGGGAAAGGGTGACCTGGTGAGACTTAGGACTCTGCTGTTCACTGGGCACGTGACCTGGAAACACCAGCCTCAGGTCCTCATTTGCCAAGTGAGGACAGTGATCCGGGCTGATGAGGTGAACCTAGTTGGCCAGGTGGGGCACCCTCAGGTGGGCATCTTCCTTGCCGGCCTCCCCTGAAGTGGGAGGAACCCTGGACTGACTCATGTGACCCTAGGGTGTGAGCCTCTTCTTTGTGCTGGGACAAGGCTTGATTTGGGACACATTCTTTACCACTCTGTCCCTCAGTCTTTTCGTCACAGTGGGGATTTCTGTACCTGGGAACGTGGGTGGTGCTGTTCAGATGTAAGGGCTACATCAAAACTTGGGTGAGGTAACCCTTAGCTCATATGGTGAGTTTTGTTCTCTTGGTATGTTCAGTACTCTTTCAAGATTATTTTTAACCTCAATATCATGATATTTAATCTTTTCTGGGTCACAGGCCCCTTGGTGAATTTTGAGAAAGCTGTGGTCTCTTTCCCCAGAAAAATGCACACATTTATACCCACACATAGACCTGCACGTCACATCCAGGATGTAGGACTCTCCAAAGCACACCCATGGCCCCTGGTTATGAACTTCTGCTTGCAGACTTCAGTGGGGAGTGGAGGTACAGAGAAGCAGTGGCCACTTCTGAAGTTCGTTTTGTTCAGTTAAAGCCCACATGGCCTGTCCCTTCCCCTGATGGTGCAGATTGCAAATAGATTTTATTACCCCAGGTAGAATGTTTTGTGAAGCATAAAAAATATTTTCTCTAGGTCCCCACAGATTACCTGCTGTGAACACACCACTGGGAAGCTGGGATGTGGTGTTGGTTTCAGTCTGTTTTAGCTGCAGGTGCTGTTGGTCAAAGGCCCGGATCCAGGGCTTGTGCCTGTGCCACTGGGCACGGGGCTGATTCCCTGACCCTCACCAAGCCTGTTTAGAATAGGTTCCTGGTAAGCTCAGCATCCGCTCAACAGTGCCGTCCCTGCCGTCGCTGGAGTTTGTGTTGGAGAAGAAAAGATGGAGGAGGAGGTGGTGCTCCTTCAGCTGCTCTCCTGAGAGGTGGACACTCCCGCTCTCTGGAGTTCCAGTTCTGCAGGCCTGCTCAGTACACAGCTCTGGTGTCAGTGGGCAGCGTCCTCTGAGATCACCCACCAGCCTGCTCCCATCCAGGCAGAATGCAGCTTCCCTAGGGAGACCGTGGGGGCTATTCTGCCATCTGAAAGGTGGGGGTGGCCAAACCGCCCAGGGTTCTCCTCCCAGGCTTAGGAACTTGGCAGTGTGAAACCCCACCTCTGCTTAACTTCCCTCAGCACTTGATGTGGATCTCCACACATGGGTTTGCTCCCCCTCTGCTTCTCAGAGGGCTCAGGACACCATGAATGCCTGGACCTGCCCTGCACCACGGACCTCCCTGGCCCACAGAGAGGAGCCATCAGGTTGCCTGGGTTACCAGGTGGCCTTGCAGAGCCTTGGTATTGCCCCTAACAATGGCATGGCATGCTCTACCCAGTGCATCCCTGTGAGACTGGCTTTGTGGGGACTGAAAGAGGTGTCAGTGGTCCACCCTTTCTGATGTGTCATTTGTGCTGGGCCCCAAGAGGGGACAGGTAGACCCTTCATGCTCCTCTCTGTTCTGGATTCTTCAGGGTGGTTCATGTGTCAGAGCCTTCAAGTTGGGCTTCTCCTCCCTGAACTGGGCTTTTTCACTGCCCTCCCAATGTCTGGTCTCTGATCATCTTGTTCTTTGCTTTCTCCCCAGTGCTTGTAACCCACAAGGTCCTTCGGAAGGCCAGAGGAAACCTAGAGGTAACTTCATCCCTTTGTGGTTTTTTTTTTTTTTTTTTTTTTTACTGAAAGCCATGTAGTGGGTGGGGATGGGTGCAGGACCAGAAATGATCTCTTTTGAAAAATGAATTTGGAATTGGAACCAAGGGACATGTCCTCCATATAGAGTTGTATTTTTCTGCCAACAAAGAATGACAAGTTTCATGCCTATCTTCAGTATTTGCTCTGGTTTTTAGATTTGTTTGCTGTTTTTACCAGGGGAAAAAGCAGCAGCCAGTGACTGGCACATAGTAGGACTTTGTTAAATCTTTCTGGAATGAATGAATGAATACAGTATGATCTCATTGTCCCTTTGTTCTGTAAATATTTGCTGATCAAACTAATAAGTCCTAGAAAGCAGTTTCAGGATCACATCTTGCTTTTAACTCGGTCAGGGATCTTACTTCCGAAACCCTCCCCTCGACCTAAAACCCTCCTTTTTTCCCCCTCCCTTTCTCCAGCTGAGGCCCGGGGGTGCCCATCCAGGAACAGCCAGTCCCAACAGACCTGGCTCCTGAGGACTTGAAGCTAATAAAGCTTGTGGCCCCGAGATCACGCGTCTCTGTTCCAGCTGAGGCTTCTGGTGGCTGAGGGAGAAAGGGGAGAAATGGCTGCCTGGCCCAAGGAAGTCTCTTTCCCTCCGTGTTCTCCATCCACACGTGGCTCGTGGTTGTGGCCACAGAGGTTCAGGTGCTCTGCGGTGAGGCGTGGAAAGGCCTTGAGCTCTGGGAGGCTGCGTGGGTCTGGGGCAGAGGGATGGCGTTGAGGCTGCATGCGTTGCTAGGCTCCACGTTTGTCCTGGGTGACCTTGGCTCTCACTGGCTCTGCAGTTTGAAGAATCTCCTTAAATGATTCATTGCATTCCAAGGGGATGATTCAGTCACTTTGTGTGGAGCCTCAGAGCCTGGGTCCCAAACTCCCCTGTGGGACAGGCCAGGTCTCAGGAGTCACTTGATCCTCAGATCTCGCCCTGAGCCTGCTGCTGAGCCCTCGCAGGTTTCCAGAGAGGAGGACTCCAAGCAGCGTGGCCTTGGGCTGTGCCTGCACCCTACAGGTGCTCGGCCTCTCACAGTCACCTGGAGAACAGCCCTCTCAGTGGTGCTGTCTGACTTAGGAAGGAGCGGGGTAAGGCTGGGACTTGGCATTTGCACTGTCCCGATGATGACAGTCCACCCAGTGTCCTCATTGGTGCCTGGGGGTACTTGCTTGCTGCAGCTTGTTATTAACCCTGCTTATCCTTAACCTTTGCCCTGAACGTCACAGTGTCCCTGAGAAGTAAACAAAGCAGGGCTGAAGCTGGCCCAGGGACCTCCTGGAGACGGGGCAGACTTGGCCCCCAGTTGTGCTTTGACATGATTCTCTTGGCCTTGCTCTTCCTGTCTCACAGTCCTGTGCCCATGGTCAGGTTCACAAAGTGCCCAGCTGGGCAGATGGGCCTCTTGTAGGAGGCTGGGCAGGGAGCACTTGGAACCCTGACTCAGTGTCCCTCACTACCTCTGCTTCTGCCATGTTCTGTGCATTTGAGTGACCTTTGGGATGACCCTGCATTTTGCTTTCCTTCTGAAGTCACTCATGCAGACCTGCTGCCTCTAGCTGTGGCCTCCCCTGCACCCAGCTCCCGGCTGCCTCATCCCCCTCGTGTCCTGACCTCTTAGAGTTGTTCCCTGTCTCTGGTCCTCTGCCTCTTCTCCTGTCCCTGGGCTCCTCTCTAGTATTTAATTCCTTTTCCATCCAGTTTGTTGGTCTTGCGCCCCACCCCCAGATTCCTTCTCTGCCCTACAGCAGCTGAGGTGCTGAGAAAACAGGGCATCTGATCATGATGCTCCCCCACCCGATAGCCACCGGTGTCTTCCCGCCACCTTCTGGTCCAAGCCCAGGTCCCTGACAGGGTTCATGGGGGCCCGTGTCTGGCCCCTCCTGGTGCCCCTGGCTCCTGTCATTCCACTTCCTTGCATTCTGGTCGGGTCCAGGCGAACTGAACCATCTCCAGCTCACTGGTGGGGCCTTGCTGCCCTGCCCTACCCAGCCCAGCCAGGGTGCTGACTCTTTGAAGTGCCCCTCCCACCCTTTCTCTTTCCAGCTAGCTTTGAGTGGTCTTTCAGAAATCTTTCCCCCATTGAGCCTCTCCCGATCCTTGATGCTCTGTGCTGCATCCCTCTCTGCTCCTGCTGCCCCCAGAGCCGTCACTCCCTGTTTGGGGACCTCCCTGAGCTCCTGGAGAGCGTCTTGGCAGGCCTGGTACACAGAGCCGAGAGATGGGACCAGTTCCTGGGAGAGACCTGATCCGAGGAGCCCGTCTTCAGGTTGCTGGGAGACAGTACTAACTCCTGTGCAGCCAAGGGCAGCTTCAGGCACCCCACAGTTCCTCCCTGGAGCCCCCAGAGCCATGTGGAGGAAGTGATGGTGGTCAGGGTCACCCTGTCTTCACAGATCAGCCAAGAGCCTTAGCTTATGGTTAATGGAGCCAGGACTTGATCCCTCTTGATCCCTCCTGTCCTTCCAGACCCCAGACTGGCTTCTCTGCCACCCACACACCTGCCCAGATGCAGGGATGCTCAGCTGGAGGCAGAGGGAGCAGAAGCCAGGTGAGCCCAGGAGGGGGCCTTACCCCAGGTACCCTGGACAGGTAGTCGGGAAGGTCCCTTCCCGCAGGGGTTCCTCCTCTGCACAGCCACCCCTCATTTTCACATTTGCCTGGGTGTGAAAACTCAGATTTAGGCATAATGTCAAATGGAGTTCCTTTTCCATGAAATCATACCATGGTCTTTCCAAACAGAAGCTTGGTCAACAGGAGGCCTGGGTCCAGGCCCCAGCCTCCACACCTGTCAGATGGGGCTTACCCTTCTGCCCAGTCCTGATGGCAGAGTTGATGAGAGCCTCAAAAATTTAGAAATAGCTGAAAAATAACATTCTTGTCAAAAATCAGTGGCTCTTCAGTGTCTCTTCTGTGGCTGGTCTCAAGCAAGTTTTTTTTTTTTTAATATTTAATTGATTTTATTCTTTAAATACATGACAGTGGAATGCATTACAATTCTTATTACACATATAGAGCACAATTTTTCATATCTCTGGTTGTATATAAAGTATGTTCACACCAATTTATGTCTTCATACATGTACTTTGGATAATGATATCACATTCCACCATCATTGCTAACCCCCTGTTCCCTCCCTTCCCCTCCCACCCCTCTGCCCTATCTAGAGTTTGTCTATTCCTCCCATGCTCCCCCTCCCTACCCCATTATGGGTCAGTCACCTTGTATCAGAGAAAATATTTGGCATTTGTTTTTTTTGGAATTGGCTAACTTCACTTAGCATTATCTTCTCCAACGCCATCCATTTACCTGCAAATGCCATGATTTTATTCTCTTTTATTGCTGAGTAATATTCCATTGTGTATATATGTCACATTTTTTTTTTAATCCATCCATCTACTCATGGGTATCTAGGTTGGTTCCAGAGTTTAGCTATTGTGGATTATGAAAAAAATGTTCATCATCTCTAGCAATTAGAGAAATGCAAATTAAAACTACTCTAAGATACCATCTCACTCCAGTCAGAATGGCAGTTATTATGAAGACAAACAACAATAAGTGTTGGTGAGGATGCAGGGAAAAAGGCACACTCATACATTGCTGGTGGGACTGAAATTTGGTGCAGCCAATATGGAAAGCAGTATGGAGATTCCTTGGAAAACTGGGAATGGAACCACCATTTGACCCAGCTATCCCTCTCCTCGGTCTATACCCAAAGGACTTAAAAACATCATACTACAGGGACACACTCAAGCAAGTTTTTAAAGTTTTATTTGAAGTTCCTGTGTCAGGTGTGCACAGATGCAGTGTGTATGTGAGTGGTCAGAGGTGGGGGTGCATTGGAGTGGTTAGCCCAGGCTAGGCTTGACGTCAGACCAGGATTTGCCCATGGGGGAACAGAACCACCTTCCCTGGTTTGTGCACAGTCCGTGGACCCTGAGGTTGGTCATTGGCAAGGGCATGAACTGGGGGTGCTCTGAAAAAGGAACCTCTGGTACATCCAAGCCTGTGTGGCTGCGAGTCCCAGGATGCCTGGGAGCAAGGCCCGCAGAGCAGGCCTGTGAGAGCCCTTCTCTTCAGGCCACCACAGGTTATCAGGACATGGTAATCCAAACAAACGTGTTTTTATTCCTTAGCTTAAAGAAAGTCCCAGCCTTGTCCTAGGGAAGGCCCACCCTTCTCTAGGAGGTAGAGGAGCAGACGGTTTGTTTGGGCTGGATTAGGGCCAAGAACAAACTCTGCAGATGGGGCAATTTGGACCTTGGGAAAAGCTCCGTTGTCCCTGGTGAGTTAATTTCACCAGCAGCTGAATTCAGGAGGCTCCTAAGCAGCAATCAGAAAATGCGTCAATTTCACATCCTCTGTGAGATTAATTACCACGTGTGCAGCGCACCTGAGACAAACAGCTGCAGGGGCTAAATATATCCAGGAGAGGAGAGGCCACGCCTCCGCTCAGCCTGCCTTGGGAGGGGTGCTTTGACCTCACTTCTGAAGCCCACCTGCCTGCTTCGCTGCCGTGAGGCACAGGTAAGCTCCTGGACCCCCAGGCAGTGGCAGCCTGGATAGCAGGAGCCACCTCCTCCTGTCCTCCATTTTTTTAGTCTGCACCCCCTACCCATTTCACAGAAAAGGAAACTGAGTCACTCAGAATCTGTTCTCTGAATTTTCCTGCCCTGCTTACAGACAGATGGTATCCTCACGTGCCCTTTCCCACTCAGTGTCTCTGGATGACCAGAGCAGGGACCCAGAGCCCCACAGTTGAATTCCTCCACACAGTAGCCCGGGAACTGCTTGTAAATGGCCTGTGGGTGGAGAAGGAGTGATCTTGTTAATACAAGTTCTCAGCATCGCCTCGGCCCGGAAACCTGCCTGGGGGATCCTGGCCCTGCCAAATGGCCTCTGCGATCTTGGCCATATTTTATGTCTAACTCAAAAATCCAATTATCAAGATTACTCATCCCGTCTCCTGAGGAGGCCAGGCTCTGCCTCAGGGCCAGGCTGTTTACCTTTGGCCGCAGTGGGGCCTTCCCAGCTAGCTTTGCTGCTTGCCAGGGGGCTGGCTGTGGGCAGATCCGGAGACTCAGGGGTCTTGTCCTGGGCGTAAGGAGGTGCCTGAAAAGACTAAGCCTCAGTTTCCTCATCTGCAAGGTCACGAGATGGGGAAAGCTAAAGAGACAGAATGACCCCAGGTGAGGCCCAAACGTCAGCCCAGGCCTGGGGGTTTGTTCCTGAGGGTCCTGCATTCAGCCAGTACCTCCTCCTCCCTTACTCTCTGCATCCTGTCTGACATCAGTGTCACTTCACCTCCCAAAGCCATTGCTTCATCCAGGTGGCCATCAGTTCCCACCTGGACCACTTACTGCAACAGTAAGACTTCCCCACTTGCACCCCTACCCTCTCCAGATGTGCCCCAGGCCACAGCTAGAGCAGATCTGCAGTGCAGAGCCCCCACTTACCTGGTGCCAAGTGTGGAACGCTTCCTCACCTGGAGTGGTGCAGGCCCTCAGGCCCGGCTGCTGCCCTCTGCTTTCCCCTCAGGCACAGGGCGGCTGCATGCTGCCCCTGCCCGGCACCTCCCTGGCACCTCTCACCCTGGCTTCTCGAGCTGGTGGCTCCTAGTTATGTTCCAGAGCCCAGTCCTTAGTCTCCCCAGTCAGAAGCGGCAGTGATGCTGATGTTCGGTGCCTGCTGAATCTGCCTCACTGGCATTTGGCTACCATGTGACTTTGAATCGTGCATTTGAGGAGGATTTGGGCCGGTTACGCCTCTTCCTGTCACTAGCCTGAAGTTCTGGAAGGCCCCAGACCTGGTGTGACTAGCTCCCCCCCCCCCAGACCTGGTGCCTGGCCCAGGGCCAGCAAATATGCTCACTCACCTGTGTTCTCAGCTGCTCCCACCCCCAGAAGAGCTGGAGCTGGTGGGCAAGAGACAAATAATGGTGCTAAGGGGGATACTTGTCCTGGGGTCCCATGAGCAGGTAGTATTGGGAATATTACCACGTGCTCTTCCTGCCGGCTCTGTGGGGACGGTACTGCCTTTTTCAGATGAAAGAGGCACAGAGCCACCTACCTGCCCAATGTCACAGGGCCAGAGGCTGGGAGCTGCATTCCAGCGGAGCCTGCGGGTGCCCCCTGTCCGCCTTGGGCTCGAGGGCTGAGCTGCACAGATGTACCGATCGCACTTGCAGATCGTCAGCTTCGGCATCTGCCCGCTCAGAGGCTCCTGCAAGGGACCCAAAGCCCAGCCCTGGCCCTGGCTTGGCCCATTTCTGCCCCTCTAACTCACTATCTTCAGCCTCTCTGTCCTTAGCTTCCCTGTCCATTGGCAGTGTCCATGTTGACCCATCTCCTGACCCAGAGGCAGCCCTGGGCATGGCAGGCCCCTCCCCTGGATCACTGTTGCCGGCTGCAGTGGTCCCCAGCACCTTGGATCACTGTTGCCGGCTGCAGTGGTCCCCAGCACCTTCCCTCAAGATCTGTCACCAGCATCCTGTTAGCTGGCGTTCACACTGGAGCTTAATTACATGTTTGCAGGCTTGAAAAGACACTATTTGTATTAATGCCACTTTCTCCTCAACAGAACAATGTGTGGTCCCAGTTCAGTTGGGGCAGTGGATGACAGGGCTGGCAGGCACAGGGAAACAGAAGAACAAGGTCATCCCAGACTCCTTGTCCTCAGCTGAAATGACATTGGGGTCAGAGACCAAAGACATAAGTGACCAGGCCACAGAGCTCTCTGAGAGTGGGGCCAATGGCTGGGAGCCCAGCTAGAACCCGTGTGTGAGAGAAGCCTGAGGGGGTGGGGGGGTACTCAGCATAGGAAGGAATTTGAAGACCTCGGTGTCAAGTTCATTTCCAGCACCTACCTTCTCCCAAGTGCCAGGTCCAGTGTGTGCCCTGAGGCTCCTCGTTGGGTGTCGGGGAGCCAGACGGGGAGGCAGGCCCTCAGTTAACTGGCTCTATCATGATAAATGATCACCAGGGCCCTCAGGCACCCAGAAAAGGGACTCCTAACTGGCCTTGGAGGTGACAGGGAAGGTGCCCTATGGTGACCCTAGGTGAGTGGAAAAGGCCACCTGGGGAGAGCAGGTGAAGAGGAGGGGGTGCTAGGTCGAGGAAAGAGCTGAGAAAGGCCCACGCTCACTGCCGTGGATCTGGCTGGGGTTTAGAATCCACTCGGTCATCCTGGCAGGACCTCAGGTGCCACCGTGGGGCAAGAGGACTTCATCCAGGAGCAGCAGGGAAGAGACTAGAAATGTGGTGTTTGAGCAAGGGGGCTGGGTGGGTGCTGTGAGGGTCAGGCCCACCCGTCCTCACCTGGGCAGGACTGGAAATGAGGCTGCTCTGGGTTCAAGACACCTCGGAGGACATGGGCCTGTTTACCCCCTGGGATGGGGCCGAGGATCAGGATGGGGTCGGCTGCTGGCTTGTGGCTCAGTAGTGGTGTAACTGCGTTCACGGGGAGAGAGCAGTAGAGATGGTGACCAAGCCAAGATCATCTTCGTGGTGGGCAGAACAGAAGGCGGCAGGTGGAAGAGGCCCTCCAGGGGGCGGGGCCGTCTGTGCAAAGGCTGCAGGGGGGCCACGATGGTGAGCTGCGGCTCACCTGAGGTGAGCCGGGTCAACCTGAGGTTGGGGCAAAGAGTCAGCATTCATTCGTCTTTTGGGTGGTCGTGGGAAGCCAGCGGCACTTGTGTCTGGGAGGTGGAGCAAGGCCAGGGAGGAGGCAGAACAGAACAGGCTGGCTGGGTGAAGGACTCATGGTCCCCAGGGTGGCTGAGCTGGTGGCCATGGGCCTACTGGTGTCTCAGTGGCTGCAGGGAGGCTGCCAGCCAGAGGAAGCAGCCTCTACTCCCACAGCAATGGGAACAGCAGCCTGGACGTGGCCTTCAGGGGACTTGCCTTGCTCAGGACTCCTGCTAAGATACGGCCCCTGCGCCCTGCCCTCGAGTGACGTCCGGAGACACAGGGTATCTGAGCAGCTCCAGGACGGCTGCTGCTCTGCCCTCTGGGAGTGCTCCGAGTGCCCCCAGACCCCACTTCCTCACCGTTAAGACAGGATCAGGGCTGGGTAGCCGCACTGCCTTTCTCCTACCCAGACCTCCTTCCCTTCATGTCCCCTCTACTCCAGGAAGCCTCCCTCCTCCCCAGGGAGCCCGTGCTCGCCGCTCCCTGCCTCTCACCAGCCCTGGGAGTCCTTTCCTTCCTTGCCTTCTCTCCCCTCTGTCCTCTCTCCCCCACTCCTATTGCTCACAGCTTCTTGCCTGCATCCAGGTATGGGGGCCCTCTGGTTTCCCTGCCCTGTCCCCACCTGGTCTCTGCACAGCCAGGATATGCTCCAGCACCCCAAACCCGACCCTGTCACTCCCCTGTGTGTGAATCCTCCCAGACCAGTCCCGTTCCTCCCACATCCTGGCCTGTGGTGTCTGCTGGCCTTCCCTGCCCATCCATCTGGGCTTGTTTTTGTTGGTGTCCCCCTGCCTCGTCCATGTGGTGCTGGACCTTGTCATTCTCATAGGCCCCCAAAGTCACCTTCTGCATCTCTGGGCTTCGCACATGTGTCTCCTGGTCTGAAATGCTCACCTCGCACATCCTCATCCTGATACCCACTGGTCCTAAAGACTCACCCTGGCATCGTCTCTGAGCCTGCATTCTCCAAACCTCAGTTTATCCCCATATAAGATGGGTCTGAGCCAGGCATGGTGGCGCACGCCTGCAGTCCCAGCGGCCAGGAGGCTGAGACAGGACCATCAAGAGTTCCAAGCCAGCCTCAGCAAAAGCAAGGCCCTAAGCAACTCCATGAGACCCTGACTCTAAATAAAATACAAAATAGGCCTGGGGATGCGGCTCTGTGGGTGGTCCTTGAATTCAATTTCCGGGATTCCCCCCATCCCCCCCCCAAAAAAATGGGGCATGATCCCACTTTCCCCTTGTTACTGGAGATTGACTTGGGGTTTCAGTCAACTGCAGGCAGCTAAGTTAGCTGAGACTAAAAGGTTTTAGACTAAAAGGTTTTAATCTATTCATTAGTAGATGTATAGTCAGCTTTTTATCACTCACCAAATACCTGACAAGAAAACTCAGAGAAGGAAAAGTTTATTTTGACTGGTGGTTTTGGAGCTGTATCCCAAAGTCAGCCTAGCCCATTGCTCTGGGTCCAGGTGAGGCAGAACATCATGGCGGAAGGGTGTGGTGGAAGAGCGCTGCTCCACTCACGGTGGGCAGGAAGCAGAGAGGGTAGGGGGCTGCAGAGAACATGCCCCCTTCCAGGGCATCCCCCAGTGATCCACCTCCTCCAGCCACGCCCCACCTGCCTGCAGTCACCACCCTGTGGATCCATTCAAACTAGGATGGGAGAGTTGGGTTACAGCTCTCAATTATTTCTCCTCGGAATGTTCCTGCATTAACACAGGAACTCTGGGGCAACCCCTCAGCCAAACCACAATAAGTCCAAATAAGAGAAGTGGATCGTCTATTCTATCCATGACCTGTCAGACTACTCTGGGAGCCTTGTGACCATTTCTGGTGACTTGGCTTTAGGCTGATGTCAACAAAGTAGATTATGTCATTAAACGTATTTTCCATTCATTAAACATATGCCAGAAATTATACATATATTGTCACATTTAATTCTGTAAAAGTGTTATGACCTCTGTAAAATGATGTGGCAGGCAGAACCATGGACCCAAGATGTCCGTGCTTGGATCCCCAGGACCTGTGATTATGGCACTTCACTTGGCAAAATGGAATTGACACAAGTGATGACAGTTACAAATGGGAGATATTCCTCAACCCCGGTGGGAACATTCAAATCACAGAGTTCCTTAAAAAAGGAGACCTTTCGCAGTTGTGGTCAGAGAATGGTGAGCTTTCAGGTTGGATCAGGGAGCCAGGAGCTGGGGACACAGGTGACCTTGGGAAGCTGGGAAAGACTGAAAAACAGATGATCCCCTGGAGACCCCAGAAAAGAGCACAGTCCTGCTGACGCCTTGATTTTCACCCAGGAGACCCAGGTCAGACTTGTGCTGTAGAGCTCTGGAAGTAAACTTGTGTCATCTTAAGCCACTAAGCTGTGGTGACTTGTTATGACAGCAGTGTGCCTTAAATAGTCACTATGAGCATGAATTTTATGATCCCATGAATTTATAAATGGTGTGTCCTGTGCTTGTAGAAGTATAACTTCTTAATGACAGGGGACCATTGAATAGACAGCGTGGGGGACAGTGAACTTCCTGTCCCTGGAGGCATGGTTGACCTCACCAAGGTCACCTAGATGGGCAGGTGCTTGGACAAGGGACCTCAAGAGCCTCCAGAGATTATAACCAGAAGCCATGTGCCCAGGGCTGGAGGAGCCTGTGGTTCCCCCTGCCACGCGGGAGGCCTCTGTCACCACCCGCAGCGTCCGCCCCTCGGGAGCGTTATTATATATGGTAACAGGACTCCATTACTTCAGAATGCTTTGGTGTAATGCATTGAAGGAATTATTGAAATGTGTAATTACAGTGTGCATTGTAATATAAAACAAGTCCATTATATTCATTTGATGGAACTGTGCTCCATAATGTCTGTTCTAATATAAAAGATTCCGCCATTAGAGTGTTATATTGTGTGATGATAATTGTCCTCCAGACCTGTCTCCCGCCTCCACCCGCTTGGTTCCGTGCTTTCTCATGGAGTTTCTGCTGCCATGAGACAGGAATACCGAGCATCCCAGGCAGGAAGGCTCCTTGGGGTCACTCCATCCAGCCTCCCATTAGACAGATGGAGAAGGGATGAGGCCAGTTGCCCAGGGCCAGAGTTGGCCATGGCAGCACCTCCTGAGTGCTAGCCAGCTTCTGGCCCAGTGGTTCCCAAACATCTTTGGGAATTGGAACCCTTTGTTGAACAAGAATCTCAAGGCAGACCAAGGAGTCAACTCTGGGGGAAGCCAAGATGGGCTTAGTGGTCCTGACCACTCAGGGGCCTCCATTCCCTCTGAGTCCCCTTCACAAATCATGAGGGCTCCCCATGACATCCTCTGAAAACCAGTGGCCCAATGCCCTCTTTGTCCAGATGGGAAGATGGAGGCTGAGCGGGGCAAACGCCCGCCCTAGATCGCCCCAAGATGTGGGCAGAGCTGGATGACCTCCACCTCCTGTTGGCTTGCCCCCTCCTCTGGATTAGTGTGGAAGCTGGTTCACCTGGCTGCTAGAACCACGGGGACTTGTCAATCACAGGATTGGAGGACCCTGGAGGTCGAGGGGTGGCGGGTCTGGGTGGAGAGGTGCAGGAACCCCTGGGGATGCTACCACAGGAGAGTTGGGAACCTCTTCCTCTCGGGTTCCTCTCGGGTCTGGGCCCTCTCTGTCTCCCTTCTCTGCCCTGAGTCAGAACTAGGTAGCAGGCACGGTCCTGGTGGCAAATAGCCTGGCGTGCTTCCGGCTGTGATGAGGTGTAAGGAATGCAGAACCAGCTTCCTGTGCTTAAAAGGAGCAGATGGCTCTGGAGGGGACCCGAGCTGGCGGAAGGTGAGGGAGTGAGCAGAGCTAGTAGTAGGGTGTAGTATCCTGGGCTGGGGTGTTTGCTGGCTCCCCAAGAGTGGAGAACGCCAAGTGTCCAAGTAGCGGTGATGAGGGGTCCAGGGGGGTGGGTCCCATGGGTGGGAGCAGGCAGCGTGCTTGCAGGAGGCAGCATGGGCCTAGGGGCCTGCCAGGCTTAGGCCTGACTCTGTGTGAGCGCTGCGGGCCTTGGCAGGGCTGCAGCAGAGGAGGGTATCCTCTGGGCAGGTGGTTGTAGCGCCTGTCTCCCTGCTCTGGCCTCCCTGCCTCCCTGAACCGCTGTTTTCCCCACATGACCAGGGTACAGCCAGCCAGGGAGAATGTTGGGGGGAAAGAGGTGGCTCTTTGGTGCCCTGCCTGTAGCACACTGGATAACAAAATTGTCCTTTATGTGTGTCCTCATTGTCATTGTCAGCTTCATTCTAGATGTTCACTATGAAATCTCTCCCCTAGCCCTGAATGATCTCCTCCATTTTATTCCTGGAGAAACTGCTCAGAAAGGTGTGAAAAATTGCCTGAGGTCACACAGCAGGACTCAACACCAGATATTTGTCCTTGCTTCACACTGAAAGGGGATCCCTGCCACAGTCACCCTCCTGCTATTTGAATTCTGGCAGTGAGAACATAAGTCCATCCCCAGGCAAACACTGTTCTGTATTGTGATCTGGGCCCAATCACTCTCCTGTTGTCCTCTGGGAGTTCTTCTTTTCCCGTTGGAGCTGCCAATTTGGAATCTCTTCTACTTTTTAGGAGACTTAGGATAGAGAATGGTGCCTTTCCGAGGGACACGTGGTGGTAGCAGGCATTTGCTGAGCTTCCAACGAAGGAGCAAGTCATCCTAATACCTCCTTTGCCAGGATCTGTGCAGTAGCATGTTGGGAACCCAGAAAGGAACAATGCTGTCCTCCTGGCAGTCTGGCTGTCTGCCTTGTCATTGGGTTCTAAAGCCGCCCTGCTTGGGTTGGGGTCTCATGGTCTCTCCATCTTCTCCCAGCAGGCTGGGGGTGCATAATGTCAGATCTAAACCTGGGCTGGGTTAGGGACAGTTCCTCTTTCTACACTGAAGCTTTTGTCCATCTCATATCCCCAAAGCCCTCTAGGCCTGTGATTAACTCATGCAAATAAATATCCAGGTTTGTGGGAAAGAGGCATTGGCCAAGTTCCGCTCACAGTCTTGGCTTGCACAACATTCTTCTGCAGCTGGGTTAAATTCTCCCATTTTGCAGAAGAAGAAATAAAACTCAGTAAGCTTAATGCATTTGCTCCGACATATGCCAATAAATCCAGGAGCTGGCAGTGGGCTGGGTCTGTTTCCACTAGGCCCTGTCACCTTGCTAACGGTTTGCTGAACTGTGGAAGGGAGGCATGGAGTATTATTGGGCTGCCTGAGTTAGAACCCCCGGAATGGCAATTTAGAGCATGTTATTCAAATCCAGCGGACGCCTGTTCTACACTAACCATCATCAAAGGCCACTGTGAACAGGAGCCTGCATCTTCCTTTGTGCATTTGAAAAAATTCCATCTAAAGCCATCACGGCATGCAGTGACCGTGGAGGAGTCAGTAGGAATTAAATCAGAAGCCAGGAATGGGAAGAAGGGAGAGGAAGGTCATCTTTTGAAATGACAAAGAGGTGCTGTTTTCTCAGTCGGGTAGGCGAGGCTTCCACTGGGCTGCGAATTTTAATTCCAATCTCTGCAGCTGCTAATGTGCTTGTCGCTTGGAGAATAGACACTAATTGACACGCAACTAAATAAATAACGTGTAACATGAAAGCAAACACAAGCTTTAAAGGAGGGGGAAAAAAAGAGCAGAAAGGAAGAAATTTAAAATGTGGGGGGTGGAACCGTGTTTTCCGCACTCCATTAAAATGACATCAAAAGGCTTTTCAAAATATTTGTTTTGTGGGGAAGATACAGTTTGGAATCATCTGGGCTTCTGTCCCTGCGTCACTGTGCTACAGATCAGAGGCAGCAGGAGAAGAGGGGAGCAGATTCTTCAAAAGGGACTGAAGATCTGTAAGCAAGAACTGCGGGATGATGTATCAGCCTCCTTCTCTCACAGGGGGACAGGCTGGCCTGGAGAGGGACAGTGGGGTACCCAAAGTCATTTGTCAGGTCCCTGGGAGATGAAGCCTGTGTTCTGCAGTTAAGACAGGGTCATACTGCAGTAGGATGGGCCCCTGGTGTCCTCATGAGAAGGGAGAGGCCTGGGAGACGAACACCATGTGACAATGCAGGTGACAGGGAGAAGATGGCCATGTGACAATGGAGGCAGAGATGGTGGTGGTGCAGTGGCAAGCCTAGGAGGGCCAAGGACCACTGCTGCCACCAGGATCCAGGAGGGCATGGGAGGATTTTACCCAGAATCCCCCATGGAGCGGGTCCTACTGATACCTTGGTTTCAGACTTTCCCCTCCAGAATTGTGAAAGAAGAGATTTCTGTTGTTCTAAGCCTCCCCGATTGTGGCACCTTGTTACCAGATCCAGTCTTTCTTCATGCTCCGCACTCTGCCAGCCCAAAGTGGTCATAAGTCCCATGTCCCAGCCTGAGACATTGCTTCCGAGAATGTCCCAGACTTATTCCAGCCAGTTACTCTCTGATCACCAGATAGCCATGAAATGTCATTTGTGTTTGCCAATTTTAATTATTTATGGAGTCCTTGCTACTAGACTGCAAGCATCTTCTCAAATTTCAATTCGATTTGTCCAACAAATGCTTCTCAAGCTTCCTAAGCAAATGTGTCTCCCCAGCCGCTCCCCCCTCCCACCATCTCCTCCCCTTGTCTCTCCCCCAGGACCCGCCCCCCTGGCCTCTTTGCTTGCTTGTCCGGAGAGCTCCCTCTGCTTGAAATGTCCTTCCCCCACATATCCATGTCACCTTGCTGATGTCACCTCACAGTCAGGCCTACACTGATCCCCCAGATACAGTCGCTGCCCCCTCCCTTGCATGCTGATTCCTCCTGGCTGACTTTGTGCCTTGCCATTTTTGTGTGTGTGATGCTCATCATTTCTCATCTGTTTTCCCTCCATAGACTGAACTCCAGGATAGGGACTTCCCCTGTCCTGTTCACCTG